TCCTTGAAGACATGGGCACGCTCGGAGGTCGGGCTGATCCAGCATGCAAGTTGGAACTTCGTGCCGCCTCCAGTTCGCTGCGCGTCCTCGATTGAAGATCTTCTTGCGTTCTGAGCGCTCTCCTGAGTTCGTTCAGCTCGTCGTGCAAGGTCGGCAATGCCTGCCTTGCATGATCTTCGTTCTGCTGAAGCTGATCTTCTGCATCTTGCATCCTCTTCACTGCCATTTTGCGAAACTCTTCCTCTTCACCGAGGCGTTCACGAAGTCGATGACGTTCTTGATCGATCGCTGCATTGTTTCCAGCCAATCCTTGAACTTCGTTCATGACTCGCAACTCCTGGTTCCTGGCGAGAAGGAATCGCTCTTGCATAGCATGCATGGCTTGTTCAGAACTAGCCGTGCTTGATCGGAGGAATAAGTTCTCCCTGGCTTGTTCGTGAAGTTCTTGTGTCAGATGCTCATACTCACGCGCCATGAGTTCTCCGTCGCCTTGAGCTCGAGTTTCCAACTGCACGAAGTTCGCAGCTGCTTCTGTTCGAACCACATGGAGCTGCTGAGCTAGTTCTTCGGCAACTGCGTGTCCTCGACGCTGTTGAGCAGAGTTCTGTTCATCCATGCGGAACAACGCTGCTTCATAGTCCCGCTTCATCTCCTGATTGACATTGTTGATGTGTCGCATGGCCAAGCATGCGTGATCGCGTTGTCGTTCCAATTCTTCAATGCGAAGTCCAGATCCTTCGTCTTCTTGCTGCATCTCCTTGATCTTCTCCATCAGGGTTTGCACGACGCCTTCGTACTCTTGCACTTGGCTCCGATAGTACATCTGCTGTGCAAGACTCGAAGCTTCGACCTGTTGTCGCATCTCCTGATAGACGTTCGGACCATCGGCTATGGCCGGGGTGGCAGCCGATGAAGCATCACCTTGCACCGGTATGGTATCAAGGGTCATGTCTGCGTCACCAGCTTCATGGGGATGATTGGTAACCATCTTCCTCCACGTCATGGATCTGTCCCGTCCTCTGGTAGTCGACGTCCTAGATCGCGCTGAAGAGCTTCTCGAAGACGCTGGTTTCGACTTCTTTTCCAATGTCTTCACTCCTCTGTCCTTTGTCCTCGACGGAGTCCTTGGCACCTGAAAACCAGATGTTTCGGATCGTCGTTCTGTAGCCTTGCCAGTCCTTGATCCTGAGGATGTTGGACGTGATGGCGTAGATGCTCTTGGTGAATTCTTCGCTTTTGCTTTGGGAACTGCCTTTGCGATGGCGAGCGCTGAAGGTTGACCTTTGTCATCTTCCGTGGAGCTATCAACGGATTGCACCACTGTGTCATCAGCAGTCGAGTCACCGACCGCCGGCGCTGCCACGTCGGCACCGAAAGTCATTGTCGTATCTTGACTTGATCCCGAGTTCATTGTGAAAGTGGTAGATCAAGTAGTCCTTGTTGTAGATAGGCAGAGCCGCGTACGGCTGATAACCTGCGTGGGGATTTGATCTTGATGATGCCCTTGTCGCTCACCCCACAGAGCTATGTTGAATACTGGCGTGGTTGCCCTCTACGAACTCAGCCACTCTCTCTTTCCCTTTCTCACACGTAAGCCTTACTCCCCGTGCAGGCAGATCCAGAGCTCGCTTGTTTTGCACCTTCGCGGCCAGCGACGGGCCGTCTGTGCTCGGGATGGCTCTGTCCCTCGGAAGGTCACAGAAGACGATAGCTATTTAGCTATGGGCAATGCTTTCTAGAGCATGTGCTCACACTTGAGCCAAAGTTGCGTGGGCGGAAATCATACAGAAAGGTTCGGCATTGCGGCGTGCGTAGCACTTCCACAAGCCTACACCTAGAGACGAAGGACGCGTAGCGTGCCTTCTCTCTTGACCTTTACATGGCCATGCTCACAGCTCTTATCGTGACACCATAGAACTTGACTAGGCATCGCAGTCCGTTCGCATCCAGAAACCCTCATCACGGCGGCTCTTGCTCGTTTTTTGAGATGTCCTGGTGGACATAGGCCTTCTTGCGGCGTGCCTATATGCTATATTTCTTCCAAAAGGGGCCCCTTCACCGGGGTCTCGGGCAGATGGTTTTGATCTGCCGGCGGGCGAACATGCTGAACGACCTCCGGCCCCCGGCGGGCGCTTCTGCGCAGGCTTGCCTTGAAAGGTCCGCTGCTTGGGCCGAAGCCGTGGAAGGATCCATCACGCCACTGAGGACGCCGATTTGTCCCGACTCGTCTTCGTGGCCAATGCCTCTTGGCTGTCGACCTAAACCGACTGTGACGTGAGAATCCTCCGTGACGGAAAATTCGTTCTTTGCTACCTGACATTCTGTCATACCAGCTTTAACCTGTTGCTTGCCAATCAGCTTCTGCATCTTGCACACGCGCCCTTTATGCACGTTTGATAATGCCCTTCACCCCCTACCCGGGACTCGGGGAGACATATCCAATCACTTCCAGCCGGAACGGGAGCTCCTCCAATTATTCAATCCCGAAAGTCCTGTACCGCCTGGTCTGCCTTGCCCGGCGTGGCCACCTGCTAAGCGGGACACCGGAGAGCGATGACCGGTCCTTTACAAGGCGACGCAGGGAAGCTACCCCCACAAGATCCTCAAAGCGTAGGTGTTGGCCGTCCTGCAAAAAGGCAGGCCGGCGAGATCTTGGATAAGCGGCCTGATGAAGTCGCATCGCCACCCGGGTATTGTCTTTCATCCAATCCTCCCACTGATCTCGGAACCGATAGACTCCACATCTGAGATTAGCGAGAGTTCGGACCCCCGGCGGCACTTCACGGACTCGTTCGACACCATCGGCTGACCCCCCACGAAGATCTTCTTCATAGATATCTTCGTCCGGATTGATCACCCAGTACTGGCCAGCTGTCTCACCGTGTAGGAGAATGCATGCACGACTTTAGTGCCCGGGAGGTAACTCTAGGACGCCTCTGCCATGCGGACGGCTGGAAAGGGAAGGTCGTCCTCGGAAGACTCGCCCGCACCAGAACGCCAGTGTCGAATTCGACTGGGGCAACAAGAGCTCGTCGATTTTGGCTGCCAGGCTCTCACAGCACAGAGGGGCAGGAGGAGCTGTTAAGGAAAGGCCAATCAGCCTGGCACCCATATTGATCAAGCTCGCTAACAGTCGCATCCCTTAAGTGAATCGCAACCGCGACACATCTGCTCCTGCTCGTGCACACACTAACATGGCTTTCGCTGCCAGAACCAACATGAAAGAAGGTTGTCTGGGCAGCCGCATCCCGAACGGAGATCGCGGAGAGATGCGCAGCTTTGGCAACGCTGGATGGGCCAGTGAATTTGTCTTGGCATTCTCGGTCTCCTGCCCAGTGCCCCTTTTTGCCGCACACATTAAAGGTGCTGCGGCTTGGCACTTCCTTGAGTTTCTTCCTTCGGTCTTCTATCGATAGACCGTTGGGCCTTGAGCCGTAACCGTGGGCATGTTTACCCATCGGTTTCTGCAGTTTCCTTTGCCCTTTGCCTTCGTGCGGGCATAAAGTAGGCGACCACCTCTGCCCGGCAAGCTTGGGCCATGAAAGCAATATTGTCATTGTCCTCCAGATCAAACTCCGGCGGACGCAAGACTGCCTCCATCACATCGAGCTCAATGTTCTCGGCAATCGCATCTTCAAGCGATTCGGCCAAGAGCGCTGTGACATTGTCATCAGCTTGAACCAGTTCTTCTGCATGCGCAGGATCCCAAGCGGAATCGTCTTCTCCGTAAGTCTCGAAGACTTCTTGTGGATCGGCCAGGTACGCTATGCGCTGAAACTGCGAGCCCTTCTTTCCTTTGCCTTTCCCCTAGCCTGTAAGGATTTCCCGGCGCAACAGAACATGGGGTCTTGGGAGCTGTTTTGCTCTCCAAGAAGTGAAGCTTCCCATGCTGTGTGATCATGATCACAGCCTTCTCTCAATCGCTTCGAAGGAGGGCTTGTCACCGACACCAGTGAAAATCATTAGTCATAGTCGTTCTTTGCGAATCTGCAGTTGTCTAAGAGTAGATCAGCGCAAACGAGATTTCGAAAGATCCATCATCCATCAAGCTCCTTGAGCTTGCGATACCGTCTCTTTCTTCTTCCTGTGTAAGAGGACATGCTCTCGCACCTTCGCCAGGTTGGCGCGACATAACTCCGCCGAGCTGGAGCCTACTGTGTAGAGCGCTTCGTGTGCTTGCAAGGAAAGATTTGCTTCTAACCACTTCGACTATTTGTTCGATAGCGTGTTCTTTCTTCAGTACATCGTGCCCTAAGTCCTGGGCTACGATATAAGCATCGCCTCTGAGTGACTCTAGAAGCTTTCCGCCGAGTGAAACCGTTTTTCGGCTATCGTGGCATGGAACGAAGCCATCGCCCGAAATTCCCATTCATAGTAGTCCTGTACAGAACCACCATACACAAGAAATCCGGCTTTGGTAAGCTCGGGTTCTTCCTGAATTCCGGGGTTGTGCCGCAATCCCACTCCAGCTGCCATGGCGGGGAGCTATCGCTGCGTTGGGCGAACCATTTAAAGGAAAAAGCGCAGGCCTGGAGTCAGGCACTGGCTCCGCTAGCAGTGTGAAAACCGGCCGTTTTCCTGTCTGAGCCTTGGCCCACAAAGGGGCCCCTGCGGCCGGTCACTCGCAATCAAGGCTGCTGGCTACCTAAAGCTAGGACTGTGCAACAGCAGGCAAGCTTGACTACCAGGCTTCGTACAGGCTGCAAGCTGTGCACATTTCCACAAAAGCTTTGCAGGCTTTAGGGCTCACACGGCTCAACAGGCTTGGACCTAGGGCTCGCGTGCTTGTTTGAGGCTCAGTCGATTGCAGATGCTAGGGCAGCACACCTTTGAATCTTGTAGTGGTTGCAGCGCGGTATCGCGTGTTGATACAAATTTCGCGTGAAAGCGGTTTCCTTTCGTGCCTGCTTTAGCGGGCTTTAAACCCTGTAACATGGCCGGTTTTGTACAAACCGTCGACACGGACCTTTAGAGTTTGGAACAACCCTCAGCCGCAGTTCTCAAGTGCAGATGTCTGCGCGGGTCTCCTCTGCAGAAAGCACCTGGACGCATCTAAGAACTTTACTCCGTTGGGGGTGCCAGACGCCCGCAGACGCAGCCTTCGAGTGGAGAAGGTGGCAGCCATTTGACGCATTTCCTGGCGAGCAGCTTTCGAGGCCTGGCTCGGAGAACCAAACAAGGGCAAACACCGCAACGCCGACGCTGTCGCTGACGTGATAAAGAGAGCCCGGCTCCGGAGCCCTTACAGAGCCCAACAGCTGCTCGGCTCCAGTCAGCTTCAGCTGCGGCCTTCTGCTGAGTATAGCCAGAGTCCGACGGGCCAGAAGGTGGCGGCACCGGAAGCTCCTCTGCAGCGCAATGTCGACGTGAAGACGACGTCGCTGACTGCACACCTCTGCTGCTTGCTCCGCCGAATAACCCGGTTCCAGCGGTTCCCGTGGTTCCGGTTCCGACCTGGCTGGAGGCAAGAAAGATCGTGCGAGACTTCTCGCTCCCCCCTAAACCTCGCAGAGGCAAGTTCGCTTGGCGGCGGAAGGGATGGTCTTTGTGCGGAGATTTGCCTCGCCGACATTTGCCCGCTTCCGGACACAAGCGGCTGAAAGGGAGATACCTTCGAACGCCGACAGTGACGTGCCTGACATCTCCTTGCCACCTGCACTGCGAAGGGCATCAATCATCAGCGCCCAACCGGCGGAACCGGCCAGGGACCCGGGGCCTCCGAGCTGCAAGACACTGGGCCTCAGTGTTTCCGCAGTGCTGCAGTGCCTGTATCGGCTCCTTGATCGCTGCTACATCTCTCGCCTCCTCTGCCACGCGAGCTGCGTTGGCGCGGCTGTAGAAATCCATGAGCCGTGCCTTCGGCTCTCTTCGGGCCCCCTCTCCCTCTCCCTCTCCCTCTCCCTCGCTCTCTCGCTCTCTCGCTCTCTCCCTCTCTCGCTCTCTCGCTCTCTCGCTCTCTCTCTCGCTCTCTCTCTCTCGCTCTCTCGCTCTCTCTCGCTCTCTCTCTCTCTCTCTCTCTCTCTCTCTCTCTCTCTCTCTCTCTCTCTCTCTCTCTCTCTCTCTCTCTCTCTCTCTCTCTCTCTCTCTCTCTGTTAAATGACACGAGCCCAATGACCCCATAACGTTCGAGATGCATTTGTGAATGCAATTCCGCATGGCATTGGCTCAAGAAATCAAGACTGGACGACTGCTTGATGCACAAAGGAAGCTCAGAGTGTTGTGTGTGGAGTGTGGGGAAAGTGATTGATTTTGCTTAGGTTGCTTATAACTATTTAGAATGTATAGTGGAATTTTGCATGGTAACGGAGCTCCGGTTCCTGAGACAGGGAAGAAGTGAGAAAGAATGGAAGTCGGAGTGACAGGAATCGGTGGCGAGATTAAACTGTTCGCATCTCCCACCTATCATGGTGACTTGGATGAGCGGGATGATTGGTCGTGGCAGCTGAAGCGGTATGTAAGACTGTACAAGCCACTGGCCAAGACACTGATGGATGAGATTGAGTCAAATGCACAGAAAGTTGTCACTGATTCACTGTGCGAAGCATATGATGCTCAGCAAACAACAACACCGAATACTCAACTGCCACTGTTCGCCAAGCAACTGGCTTACATGTTGGCACAGATTACTGATGGAGCTCCCAGAGCGATTGTGAGGAAATGAAGACACAGAGAATGGCTTTGAGATTTGGCGTCGACTGTTCACCAAGATTTCAATGCCTAGTAGAGCTCGTGCGACGAATCTCTTGAATGAGATCATTGCCTTCCGATTGCGGAGCGACCACCTTGAGAGCGATCTGAGTGGTTTCATCATACTGAAGAACAGACATGAGAAGACGACTGGAGTGCCTTTGGACAATGATCTGCTGATCACGCTGATAATGCAGAAGACTACTGGTCCATTGCAGCAGCACCTGAAGTTGAATGTCAGAAACATCAACACGTGCACTGAAGCATTGGAGATTACTGAAAGGAAGGAAAAGATACAAAGGAATGTACAAAGGCAAAGGAAAAGCATTCAAAGGAAAAGGCAAAGGAAACAGAGGAAAAGGACAAGGACAAGGATGCTTTCTGTGTGGCGATCCGAGCCACTGGAGTAAGGAATGCCCTAAAGGTAAAAGCAAAAGAAGAATGTCAGCGGTGACTGATGAAGAAGGACAACAGGAAAGAAATCAAGAGGAATGGAGTCAAGATGCTGAGTGGTATGGTGATGAATGGTTTTGGAATGATGAATGGAGTCAGGATTGGATTGGCTTTCTTGATGATTGGTCTGGTGACTGGTCTTGGTCCGAAGATGACTGGAGCTACTGGTCCGATGACTGGTCTTGGGGTTCTCAGGATTGGTGGAGTGCTGAGCAGCCGAATGCGAGTGCATCTTCAGGTTCGCAAAGCACGGCGAATGTCCCGCAGGATCCCATCAAGACTGAGCCACCGCAGAATGTAACCGCCGTGACTGTCGAGACTCAGGATCAGAATGCAGCAAGACCATCCAGGACTCTTCGAGGTGCGAAGCCTGGATTGGCAACGAATCTGTTTGTCGGAGCTTGCTTGCTGATTGGTGCATTGAGTGCTGGAGTGCCTCCGGTAACTAGCCGGAATGTGCCTGAGACTGATCACTTGAGTTGCGACGACGGACTGGTCGAGTTTCACATGCAAGCTGGACTGATTGACAAGTCGTGGATACTGTCCGACAGTGGAGCTTGCGCGAACTGCTGTCCCGGAATGGTTTGCTCCGGACTACACTGGTTTGCCGCTGAATGAGAGTGCCCCGTCACTGCGTAGCTTGTCTGGGAAGACACTGGATGTGCAAGGTCGTAGCGTTGCGCAACTTGATTGTGGCAATGGCCACTCGTTGAGTGTACATTTTTACGTGTGCACTGGGATACCGTTCCCACTGCTGAGTTTGCTGGACCGTTGTTGCAAGACTTCTGGACGGTAATGGCTATACCTGGCATTGATTGATCCAACTGGCAACACTGTGCCGATTGTGAGGCAAGGCACACTGGCCTACTTGACACCGACTGTCATACCATATGCCGTGGCAGATGCGGCGAGAATGGCAGCGAGTAGTGATGGCTGAAATTGAGAATGAACTTGGATCTGTTGAGTTGCATGGAGTGTCGGATATGCATGACGGCTCGATTGACCACTTGTTCCAGATTGGAGCGCTGCTTGCAGCAGCTCAAAGAGTGAAGACCAAGGAAGGCACATGCTGGGACATGTGGGAAGTGAATGTGTCGGAACTGAACCTGATCCGGCATGTTCGTGTGTGGCACAATGAAATGTTGGATCCAAGGATCAAACTGGCAAACAAAGCGCCTGCCCAGCATTTCTTGGCAGGAGATTGCGATAATGGTGATTCGATTGATGTGTGCATGCCACAAACATACATTGATTCGATCTTGGATCTTTATGGAATGAAATGTCGCCAAACAAGTTGCAATGTGACGATTGCCGCGACTGCTTCGGCCACACCTTTGAGTCCTGCAGAACACAGTGTACACGACTGCAGTTGGCAAACTGCCACTGATCAGAGGCGACATTGCTTACGCAACTACAGAACTGAGTCGGGATGTGACTGCCCCGACAATGCAGAGTGTTGCTAAACTTAAGCATTTGTTGCGATATCTGATTGGTACCAGAATGTGTGTGTTGAGACTGCGTCCATCTTATCAGTTGTCTGATGGCAACTGTGTGTTGGATGTGAACGTCATTGTTGATTCCGACTGTGACTGGGCTGGATGCTCAAAGACAAGAAAGTCAACCAGCGGATCCACTGTGAATGCTCCTGGGTGCAATATGGTCAGCACTGCCAGGACCCAAGGTACATTGGCGTTGTCTTCTGGTGAAGCGGAGTTGTACGCGATTGGCCAAGGAGTGTCTGAAGCTCTGTTCCTTCGGTCAATGTTGCTTGAAGCCAAACTGGCTAAGAAAGTTCGTGTGATCGCCCACACTGACTCTACTGCCGGTAAATCAATGGCAACCCGCCTGGGCACTGGAAAGAAAACGAAGCACGTGGAACTTGAAGAAGGCACGCGGAATCCTGCTGACCTATTTACCAAATATGTTGCCACTGACGTGTTGCAAAGATTGAAGACCCACTTGGGAGTGGTTTCTAATTTGGTTCAAAAGTAATGCGGTTTCTGGTGCTCATAAGACTGATGATCATGTTGCTGCCTTGAATGCTCACTGCACCACCCACCCGCTCAAACTCTGTGCGCATTTTCTCCACTGCGCGTGCATGTACTCTGCGTGCACTGTGCGTCAATGCTTCTCTGGGCGTCGCTGGAGTGAAGTCCACGAAAGGGACTGAGTGCATGAGCTTTCGATTGCAGCAGATTGCAGTGTGTGCCTGTCCTTGAGCGAGTGAATGCAACATGTCAATGCTGTTTTGTCTAATGTAAAGTGAAGTACAGTGAAGCCGACTGCTTGGCATGACTGCAGGGGCACCGTTTGATGTTTCCCTGAAAAGCACCAAAACCAAGGAAAGAGAGTGTGAGAGAAGGAGAAAGTTTTCCGATCCGACAGTCTTCGATTGATCGAGATGTTCGATCTGCCGATCTCGAATGAGATTGGATTTTCTGCCGAATTTTTCTCTTTCGATCGGTTGCGCCGAATGTCGAATCGAGTGACTGCGGATGTAGGTTGCAATGCAAGGGACTGTCTGAGACAATTGCCTTGCTGAATGAGATCAATGTGCTTCCCCCAAATGTTTCCTCTGATTGCTTCCTTAGTGCGACTGTATATCGCCCGTAGTGCCTGTGCGACTGTCTCGTTGCCCCGCAATGCCAAGTGTTCCGAAATTCCTGCCCGATCCGGAATTCCGACATGAAGAGCTGACACTGGAGAGCAACTGGCCCATGACCTTGCTGAAATCTCTGGCAAGACTGTTGCTGAGATTACAGGCAATGGTGTCCAAGTGACACTGATGTTGATGAATGCAGCAGGCGAGCTTCCTTTCGACAGGCCAGGCCTTGTGCGACTGGCAAAGAATGAATCATTTGTTCGTCCGATTGAGTCTGCAACGGTGACTGTCAAGAATGGTGGCAAGACACTTGTGGTTGACGGAGAGATTGCTCCTTCAGTGCTGCCTCACTGCCTACGGTTAAAAAGAGTGGTGGCAAGGTGATGAATGAGACCTTGACGACGCATCGATTGTCAAGGAATGGTCCTGTGAATCGGGAAGTGTCCGCTGCATCGTCCCGAATGGACTTTGGCAAGCAAGTGACGAAGATTTGGAAGCGACTGGATGAGTATGTTGCCATTGACAATGCAAGACGACTGTCAGAAGACAGAAATGGATGGCAATGAGCTCGCCAACCGACTGTACAATGCCCAGGTCGGACTGGCCGAAGCTGTGTATCGCCGTGAGTGGAATGACGAATGAATGGGTCCGACCCTGTCCCTACTGATCCCTGGGACAAGGAGTGGTGGATTGTCTGGATGCCAAATTGAGCACCCGGATGAGAACGCGAATGGCCCAATGTCGAGCTTGCGACTGAGAATGAACAGCTTGGGCATCACCCCGGTGCAGAATGGCCCGAGTGAGTGCATGACTGCCTGGTACACAATGACTAAGGCAGAGAGAATGTTCGTTACACAAGGGGACTGGCACATCGAATGGAAACTTCTCCCCAATGCCAAGCAGAATGCGAGTGATGAGCTGGTCAACGTCTACGACTGGGTCATGCTTCCAGCGAATGTTCGCGAAAAGTTCTTCAAGACTGGCAAGATGGAGCTGTCACGGCTTCCATGCCATCACTTGAATGGCAGGTTCTGCGCACTGTCAGCGATGCGCAAAACTGTGCAATGGTTCTGCCAAGGATGCTTTGACGAGAATGCGGCCTACGATGGAATGTTCTTCGTACTGAGACGAAGAAGCAAGACTGAAGCCCAGCGCAAAATGGGTCGAAGCATCAAACAAGAAAATGAAACTGGAGAATTATTTCAATCGCCAGTTCACTGACCACATCTCCTCCCAGAACGGCTACCTGGAGACTGGCGAAGAGCATGTGGGCGTCGCGAATGTCCCGAAGAAGTGGATCTGGACTGTGCCCGAGGAGCACCATGGGCATTATCAGAATGCATTTGAATGACGACATGATGTTCCAATCGAATGGCAGCCCGCTTCTCTGCCTTGCGGAAATGGTGGAATGGAATCGATTGGCCACTGTGATTTCCAGTGGCCCGATCGAGTGGCGCCTGATGGGACACACAATGGTTCCATAGATTCAGGCAAGTGCGTCGGGATTGCAGACGGTGAGCACACGAATGCCTGGAATGGCCCTGCCTCCTCGAGTGCCTCAATGCCATCAAAGAAGGCCAAGACAATGACATCCTCAAGCTCAGCGACTGCCCTCGCACAAGTCGCGAATGCTTTGATCCCGGGAGCTGAAGTTGTCCTCCGGATGACTGCGAATGCCAAGGCAAAGTGAGCCGCACTGAGTCGCATCAAATTCAGGAGTGCCCCATGGTATGCCACATGTTTTGGAGTTGCAGGGAATGAAGTTCTCGGATTCAATGTTGTACAGAGCATTGCCCGACTACTGTGAGCACACCGACTGTACAGTGCAATCCGTTCGAGCAAAAGTCCACGAATGAGAGCAATGCTTTCCTTAGATCGTTGTCTTGCTGCTGCTGGTGAATGCTGTTGTGATTGGTTGTCACTGGTTCGTTATTTGAATGATCTTCGACTGAAGTCAAGATCAAGGGACGAGCCCAATGACTCCAATGACCCGGTAATGCTCTAGATGCATTTGTGAATGCAACAATGCCGAATGGCATTGGCTCAAGAATCAAGACTGGACGACTGCTTGATGCACAAAGGAAGCTCAGTGAGTCTTGTGTGTGGATTGTGAGGAAAGTGATTGATCCTAGATTGCATAGTGAAATTTTGCACTCTCTCTCTCTCTCTCTCTGTCTCTCTCCCTGTCTCTCTCTCGGCTCTTGGAAGAGCGGGGAGTTCAGGCCTCCCACTCGCGTGGCTCCTTGTCCGCCCCTGGCAAAGACTCCCTTTCCCTGTATGTCCCTGTCCCTTTCCCGGCCCTGTCCGACTCGAGTCCTCGGTCAGAGCCAAGGCTTCTGGCGGTCTGCTCCTGCAGCGCAATGGCGGGCTTTCCGGTCTTCTTGTCGCTGCCCTCTACCGCTCGGCCTCCCTTGCAGCCAGCAGCCTTCGGATCGCGAGCTTCTCCGTGGCCGCATGCTGCGCAACAGCACATGCCGCATGCCGACAGAAAGCTCGGAGACTCAGAAGCACGCCTTGGCAAGCTGCTTCTTGTCTACCGCTCGGCCCGAGAAGTTCAGCCGGTTTCCTAAGATCCATGCCTCGAAAAGAAGCACTCTCAAGCGCAAAGCAGAGCGCTCTACTCTGGCGCTTTGCTCTCTCCGATCTCCGCACCTCCACGAGTTGAGAATCCACGCCGCCTGCCATGTGAGCAAAATGAACGGGCTGGTCTTAGCAAGAGAGTCGAGGGCTGATGGGCTGAAAGGGCTGAACTCGGCGCACTCGGCAACTTTCCGGATTGGAGGGCATCAAGCAGCCTCGATGCAAACGGGTGCCGGTGTCCCTCTTCGAAGCCAAGACCCACACTCTTGCTGTGGCACAATAGACAGCTGCTGCATGATTTCCTGGCACTCTGTGTTCAGCTATAGTCTTCCGTCAACAAGCGGAAATACACATAAAAATGAACCCTGCTCAAAATGGAAAGACCTCAACGTCAGCATTCCTCTTCTTCTTGTTGAGCCGCTCCAGCCTGAAGAGACGCATCCGCCAGGGGCATGGCACGGCTGCACGGCTGCACGGCTCAGCGTGTACGCAGCGTGCCGGGGGCCGAGTCCAAGGGGGCCTCTGGAGTTCTCTCTCCGCGTGGAGCTGCGCGAGGCCGGCCCGGCGATGATCTTCCTGCGAGGCGAGGCCGGCGAGGCCGGCGAGGCTCCGAGAAGACGGGCCTATCAAGGCTGTGCCGAGGCTATGCCGAGGCTCTGCTTTCGGGGCGTATCGAGATGGCTACGGCTACGACTCCCCCGCCGGGCCGCATCCTCGGCAGATTGCCAGTCTGCACGAAACTCCGCCGCCTTTCTCTGCTTGCTGCCGTTCACGGCCACGGCCTGCAGATGGGTCCAGCGACCCCGGGCGTTTCTTACGGAAATCGGCCGTTGGCGCAGACGGCCTCGGAAGGCTTCACATCGAGGGCCCTCAAGAGGAAGATCCCAGCCTCCCCCACACACGGCGAAGCAGCGAAGCACTGCGCACACTGCGCGCCCTCCTCTCCCTCCCCTCTTCCTCTCTCGGCGCCGGCCTTGCTGGCGCGAGGCCAGTCCTGATGCCAAGGACTTTGTGAGGACTTGAGAAGAGAAGACAATTAATTATGTAATAGCGAAAAATCCTGGATGCATTGGCAACGGCACATGCCAAGCAGCTTTCTGCCTCCTAGTGGGTCAAGGACGCCCGTGCCCGACTTCTGTCATGACAACTCCCGCAAGCTCCACGGAGTTAGCTTGTCGACGGTGACCAAGCACTTGCCGACACGAAGCTTCGGCTTCGGCAGAAGGCAGGTAGCCCAGGCAAAATCATTGATCATGTGAGGACTGAACCGGTGCTGAGGCCCCAGCCAAGCCGTAGAGGTCCTGTCAGCAATGGGGTCCTTCTAAGAGAAAGCCTAGAGCACAAGAAAACGCACCGGTCCCAAAGCTGCAGGATGCCGTAGGTCGTATCGGCATCGTAGAGCTGATGCCTACAAAAATCTTCGACAGCTGAGCCTCTCCTCTCTCGCTAGGAGTGGCACCTGACAAGCAAGGGCACAGCCATGTGCGTCTCGAAGTTGAAGGTGCAGAAGTAGAGGATTAGTGCTCTCTGCCGTGCCTGGCTCAACGCGAACACTCATAGGAAGGGCGGTCCGGCGGTCCGTCTCTCGCCTGAAGCACTGTCGGGAACCTGAGCTCCACGAAGCGCAGCGCACCAGCGCCTGGGAAAGCGGGGGCCATGAGGGGGCGTTTTCCGTTTTGCGAGTCCGAGCCCTCCGAGCGGCGGTGCTAGCAGCCAAGGCTTCTTTCTTGATGCCCACCTCCGCCAGCTCCTCGCGCATCAGCTCTCTTCTTTCGCCAGGGCCGGGGCCAGGGAAGTTGCTGGCTCTCGCTCTCTCTTTCTCTCTCTCTCTCTCTCTCTCTCTCTCTCTCGCCAGGGCTATGGTGTAGGGGCTCTCTCTCTCTCTCTCTCTCTCTCTCTCTTGCCTCACAAGGGGCTCCTTCTCCATACCACCGGCAGCACAAGTTCGGGCAAAAGTCTCCAAAAAGGGCGACGGCACCTCGATCGTTCGCTCCTGCCGCAGCCAGGGCAATGGCCGAGTGCTTCGGTCGTTTACTTATGTGCTTTATGTCCTCTGAGATGCCCTCCAGCAGCAAACCCTGTCGTCGAGTGATTCGTGTATGCGAGAAAGCAGCTACGGCTGCAGCGCGACGGTGCGCTCGCTTCCCCTTGGTGCCTGCAAGCCTCGCACGGGCCGCAGCGGCCGCAGCGGTGACTCGCAGTTGAACTCCGGGAGCTGCGCCTCGGAACTGCGCAGTTCCGCCGGCCCCAAGCCGAGGCGCGCTGCCGCTTTTTTCGATTTGCGCGCCTCCGACAAGAACCACTTGGGCAAACCCAACGTCCGACGAGAGCACCTCCGAGCGGAACGCAACCAAACAAGCAGAAGCTGCAGAAGCCCAGAAGCTTCTGGGAGTTCTGGCGAAGTGGCGAAGCTGGGGCCGCGGCACGGCTGCACCGGCTGCACCGGCTAGCCGGTCGTTCTCCCCTGACTCGCCACACTGTCTATGCTGAAGTGCGGCAATCCGGCCCAGCGCACCCGGTGCCCGCGGGGCAGCGAGCAGAACCGGTGCCTCCGGTTGAGTGGCAGGCAACGAAAGTTGGCATGGTCCGAACCAGCAGTAGCACAGCACTACGAATCACCGTGCCCAATAAACGGATCATTCCATCTAGTTTTGTATGCCATTCCTTAAATCTAGTGTCTCGTATGCTTGGCATCACAAATATCTATCTCATCTTCGTTACCATCATTATCATCGGCATAATTCCTTCAATGCTTTTGTCGCAGATCAAACCACGAATGGATCAAACGTGCAAGGACGTGTGTGTGTGTGTGTGTGTGGTGCAAACCTCAATCATAGCATGAGCTGGCCAACCTAGACCAACCCCTTCGAGGGCAACAGCGCAACGAGCTCCAGGCAAGAAGCAAACGAAGTCTGATCAACTACCGGTTATGATCGTTTGTGGCATCGTGGTACTTCAAGTTGTATGCGGTTCATTTTCGCGGCTGAACCCACAGGGCAACAGCTTTCAATGCCAGCAAGGCTTTGTGATTTATGCGTGTGCATGCTTCTGGTAACTGTTCCATTTTCATTCATGGTCGTCGTGTATATACATTTTGCAAGGTGCGATTTCTACTCGCTAGATCGCGATACATCTGGCTTAATCTGTGTTTTGCGAGATCGTATTGCGCAGTTTGGCATTTAATTTGTCTTGGTGGCTGTTTGTGATGTGAGCTTACGGGAGTAATCGTTTACCAATTTAACTCAGTAGTAACGTCTGTTTCGATCTTACAACCATGGCTTTTCCTATAACCGTACTACATGCTATTCTTTCATATTGGACTCGGCAGATACTTGGAGTTAAGCTTCGCCTCGCGAATGGCCACTATACTTGAGAACAGCCAGACTGGGTTATCTCAGTCTCTTTTTTCAACCAAGATGATTTCTTTCGTGAAGATGGATCAGTGGACCTTGCGGTGTATCAGGTGACTCAACCAAACTTGTTCAGTCGTCTTACCCATGTGCATCGTGGTTGGCTCCGCTCGGTTACAGACTGCATTACCGGAATTACTTGGGTCGATATCTTGGTGTTACCCAGAACTGCCTGCATGCGGAAATCCGAATGTTGTTTATTCGTGGTCCACGTCGCTGACGAAGCTGAGATCGACATTGACATTATTCATCATCTAATCCGTTCGACGGTTGCACTGTCCTTTTCGCCAGTAGAATTTGCCATGATTTCATGTGTCGGCACAGCTGCGGCAATCTGCAGCCACAAGCTTTCCAGCATTCATTGCCACATGTGTGGATACAGTCTGCTTTGCTTGAACAACATGAGGGCGTTGGCAGACTTGCATCGAGAATTAACGACTTTAGTCGACTTCCACATCAAGCTTGGGTCTCGCCACTCTTTCAAGACTTTGCCTTGCATGGTTGTGAAACACAGCTGCTCGTTTGCCGACTCGATTTGCGGACAAAGGCCTCGACTTGTTGACACAAGCTACTCTGCATTCCGTCCCGCGCGAAGTAGTCATGCAAACATCTGCAATCACTCAAGAATCTTACCCCAAAGCGGGACGCATGCCGAGCTTGCCAATCAAGACCGTACCCAGAAATGGAGCAAGACATCTTGGGTTGTAGCAGTGCAACATGCTATGATACTGTTGCCCTGGGACCGGTGGTACCCGGAGACCCTTCCAGTAAACTCCAAAATTCGAAAGGTGGGCCGCGTGCTGGCTTGACGAGCCGAATGGGATCCATTGAAATTAGATGCGCCGTGCATGTGTGTCATAGAAGAAAGCATTGTGGTCTTGCTCTTGAGTCCACCAGTACTTGAGGAAAAGCATATTGTGCGGAACATCTCCATAAGACGTGTGAGGGTCTGGAGTCTGCAAAGGCGCCCTGAAATCTAGGCTTTCCGAAATCGTCTGTTCCAGTGCAAATGTACTGCTCGGACGCGGAGTTCTTCCCGGAGGCTCCTGGATGCTGTATGAACGGATGGATAAATTCCGGATTACTCGATTCCGGAGGGGCAGCCTCTATGATACATGAGAGCGGTCTGCAGCGGTCTTCAATTCCAAAGACGCGGCGCCTCGCTTTCAGCAAAGCCGAAAGCCAGCCGAGACTCCTCGGAGCAGCGCTCTGAGAGGGGAGCAGAGCTGCAGCAGCTGCAGCAGCTGCAGAGCTTCGGCCATGCGAGGCCCGGGGCCCCCCACCGGGATAGCCCGGGGATAGCGGTCCACTGCTGCGATCAGGTTCAAGCCGAGGAAGAGCCGCTCCTCACGATATGAGTGAAGCAGAGCTGCAAAGGCAGAGGTCTTCTTTGCGGGCTTGCTTGCAGATGGCGAAGCTAGCAGCTAGCAGCAAGGCACACCTCCATGTAGACCACTGAGCTTCGGATCTCGGTCGCACCACGGCAGGCACTCGAGTGGAACAGCAGGCACGATCTTCATCTAAGCTTCCTGCCGAACGGGTCAATCGGAGCGCGCCTGCAGCTGCAAACTTGAGATTTTCGGAGAAACTTCGAGGGGCACTGCCTTGCAGGAGCTCTAAACGCCGTTTCAGCAAGTTCCAGCCTGGCACACGCTCCTACTGTCAGCTCTGCGGAGCTTTGCGGTCTCAGAATCCGCCGAGCTGCGCCAGCTGCGCTGAATGCAGATGGCGGCACGGCGGTGAAGGATTGCATCTGCCAAGCCTCGCGGACTCGGCTCAACGTCGCGCGCGAGTGGCCATGCTTTCTTTTGCTTTCTTGCATTGTCTTGCATCTGCTTCAGCTGCTCTTCTGTGCTGAAAGCGGTCCGAGCGGCTTCCGAGCGAGAGCCGCTCCTGGTGGGCCCTGCGGAAGGGAGAGACGAGGCGAGAGGCGAGAGGTGTGTTCGCAGACCAGACGCGTCTCTCCGCGGCGCGGCGCCTCCAGCAGGACTGGATCACCGTCGCTGCAGCGATCTCTGCCACTGCCTGCAGTAGCTTCAAAGACCTCTACCAGTAGCTTCTAGCTCGTCGAAACGATTCTTCTTCTCATCTTCGTCTCTTGCCGCGAGTCACCGCTAGCGTCACCGCTAGCCGCTAGCGGCTCCGCACCAGGTATGAAACTGAGGCTGCAGAGCGACAGGCACCCTACTGCGAGGAAATCAATGTTGTCGGGTGCTCTGGCAGAACATACCGCATCTCGCATGTCCAAGCGTTCTGATGCTGTTGCGGCCGGCTGCTCTCTCGAGTGCGGAGTGTGGTTGTGCGGGCGAACTGCTGCTGGCTTCTGCAACTGCCTTTCCGGCTCGAAGCCACAGACGGATGTCGCCCGTTGAGAAGTAGTTTCTGTTTCGAGCCCTATGCATGGCTGGCTGCCACATGGCTCTGCCCTGTCATGCCGAGGCTCAAGGCTTGTCTTTCTTGCGACTGTTTTGCTTCCGCAAACTGCTTCCAGCTGTGGATCAGTTTCTCTTTGAGAAACGAGCAGAACCGCTTGAAATGGTTGCAAACGGAAGGATCAAGCTCCACCTGAAAACGCAGGCGGAAGGAACAAGTGGCAGAGAGCACCTCTCGGTGAGCACTGTCAACACGCTCTGCCCACCCTTATTCACACTTTTTCCCAAGTTTGGGGCTTCTGAGAGCTCCTTCCTCTCAGACTACAGTCGGCAAGACTCGCTTCGCAGCTCAGCTAACATCAGAGGTTTCCGCGAGCGGAGAGGTCCCTGCAAGCGGAGATGTCTCCACCGGAGAGGCCTGTTGAAGCTCATGTTTCGGACAAAAACCAGAAGAAAGATCTCGGCTGTCAGCAGCCAAGAGCCTTCAACCGGCCTCATGCAAGGAACCGGTGGAGGCCAAGGAGGCTTGCGAGGCTCCATGCGATGCTGCAGTCGTCAGACTCTGCGCGCTGGTTTTCGTCCTTGACAGCGGCGCGTTCCCAAGCATGATTCATACGTAATGTTCATGTGAGTAAAATGCAATAATGTATACACATACACATATAGTTAATACAGATATGTCTGGCATGTATGTATGTATATATATATATATATACACGGGCGGTTGTCAAAATTATGGTCCCTTTTTGGGTACCCTAAATATTAGGTGCCGTGTTATAATAAGGACCCAAAAGGGGGCATGATATTGACAACCACCCAGACATACATACACATATACACATATACACATATACACATATACACATATATACATATATACATATAAACATATATACATATATACATATATACATGTATACATATATACATGTATACATATATACATATATACATATATACATATATACATATATACATATATACATATATACATATATACATATATACATATATACATATATACATATATACATATATACATATACGTATATATATATATATACATACATAATATACATAATATACATATATATATATATTTATATTTATATATATTTATATATTTATATATATTTATATGCGTATATATACACACATACGTTTATGTTTTGTTTATACATACTGCGACCCCCCGATGTACCTACCTGTTCGGTGTGCTTATGCCAACGGCGCGTATCTGCAGAACAGCAAGTTCATGGGCGCTGGCGGCAGCCATTGGATGTGTTTCCGCGTGCTGTTCGCAAGTCGCAAGTGCCCATGTCTCATGCTTTGCGACACATCTCTTGTTGCTTCTGCTAGAGCTAATGCCCAATTAATATCAGGTTGATAGTTGCTGTGCTGTTCAACGTGTCAGGGTGTTCTGCTTCTCTGCTCAAACCACATGAAAGGCAGTATCTAGAGAATGTTGATGAAATTTAGCGTTCATTGATACTGGCATAGCGGCTTATTTCTCTGAGCAGGGCATAGCGACAAAAAACGTGTGACTGCGCACAAACATTCAGTGGCGACAAAACCATGACATCCAATATGCATAACCGGAACATCACGAAATTTTCTTGTGTACATATTAGGGAATTATTCTGAGGATGATATAGTTGTCGGGTTAGATAACAACCATATAGTGATCTTTCAGTAACTACTATCTAAGCTATAGTGAACCAGCCTCTAGTAGCGAATATCGCCTAACTTGTAGGCGAACATCACGCGTTCGACGGGTATGTTCTTGCAGACATACAAAGTTCCATTTGCTAAATTCAGACTTACATCGTATGCGTACAAAACTCTGCACATAACACCAATCAGCAAGCAAGAGAGTATTTGGACGAGCGTTTCAACTGTTGTACCTCTCACCACCCGAAAAACAACTTGAAGCCTTCCTTTCTCAATAAACAGCAATTAGTCTTGCAAATTCTCTTGAACATCGGCTACAAATGGATATTTGCACATGTATCACTTTGTATGGGAGAGCACAAGTGCGGAGGGGTCCCAATGTTTCGGTGGCTTGGGGGTCCAAAACATTGGAACTTCTCATGGTTGTTGGACTTTCTGGATGCGAAAGTGCAGGGAAGCCCCAATGTTTTGGGGCCCAAAACATTGGGACCTCCCATGGTTTCGTAACTCTAGGAGCGCGAAAGTGCTGAGGATAGGAGCCCAAAACCATGGAAGGTCCCAATAACGCAATAAAGCCAACGCAAGCCAAGGCCGGAAAGTCGGTACGGGGGGGCACTCGAACTGCAGAGCTCACAGGCACATGTTTTCGCAGGTTCAGAACACCAATTCGCACAGGTTACGCGTGCTGGAACTTCACAGGGGGGACACCATATATATATATATATATATACACACATATAATACACACATATATGTATATGGCATGTATGTATATATATATATATATGTATAATACATTTATATATATGTATATAGAGTGCTGGGTTTTTCACTGCACTATGTTCAGAGATTGTGTGGGAAAACTCGTGAAAACTACGCGGGAAAATTTCACAAATAGAGATGAATATTTTCAAGAAAGAAAGACACTCAGGAAGAGACAAAAGCGTATTCGGGAATACTGGAAAGCTTGTTCAATAACTCTCCGAACACATCACCATGCATTTCTGCGCGCCAACTAAATGCATGTAACCATATAGACACTAATAGGGCCCTCGTTGCCGACATGAACACTCACCATGCATTTGTTGGGGTCATCTAAGTGCATATTGCCACGTGAATTTAACCAGAATCCCTTGTATTGGAATACACAAACCCAAAGCGCATGCATCAAATCAATCAATACCTATGACCAGGCCATGTGTGTGTGTGTGCGTGTGTGTGTGTCCGAGTACGGTTCGGAATTGAATATTCCAGTGTATACTTATATATGCACAATTTTAACGACATGGTCTGATGAAGTCAAGGCAAGCCAAGCAATGCTGCCAAGCTCCCCCGACCGGATCGCCATGCATTTCTAGATGCTATCTAAACGCATACGGTCACCTGTATCTATCCCCCTGACCCCCCACCCCCGCGGAAGCCAAGCCAAGCCAAGCTGCCAACTCCCCCACCAAGGATTTCTATGCGCCTTCTAAAAGCATATGGCAACGTGTATTGAAGCAGACAAACAACAACCAGCAGCCGCACTCAAATGCAGCGCACAGGTGCTGTTTCTGAAAAATGCGGTTCCTCGTTCTTGAAATGACCCAGGGTTGCCTGATTTTCCCGGTTTGCACCCGAAAAGGTTAGCACTCTGTATATATATATATATGTGTATACATATATATATATATATATATAGATACATAATATGACTATATCTTTGTCTCTAGAAATAAAGCCTACGTTTCGTCCTTTCTTTCCAGTGGATTTACAGCTTCTCTGATTCTTCCCTGGCTCTCTCTGCAGCCGGGCGTCAGATCGGAAGGTTTGCTGGGATCTTGCATCTCCAAGGCACGGGACGGAGGCTTGAAGCTCACCCGAGTCCGGGAAACCCGCGGGAGCGGCAACTCGCGGGAAGCCTCGGAGATCTCCACCACCTGCGGAGCGGTGCCGCGCAACACCGCTGGGCGCGGTCGTGCAATGTCCTGCCATGCCGTGACGCCAAGCCTCGGCTTCGGCCAGGGCCCGCAGCGCTGGTCCTGGAAGAGAGTCAGAGAGCGGAACGAGCGGCTTTGACCGTAAGCGCGTTCAAAGCAACGTCGCTTCGCCCTCGGCACTTCTCCTGTGAGGCGAGCGAAATTGGCCTGGCAGTCCCGTCACATGTCGTGAAGTGCCCTATATCGTCTAGACCGGCTGGCCTTGATGGGAAGTCCACGAGTGGGTCGAGGTGGCTGTGCGTAAAACTCTGGCGCAATCGCCTGAGCACAAGGAAAGAACTCTTCCCGTGGGTTGCTGTTGACCTCGTCTCGCCTGGCCTGGGGACAACTTTCCCGCTTCTTCGGTGTCTTCTCCGAAATCGCCGAATTTGCCTGCGTAGTCTCGACTGCCCGTCTTGCCGCTGCAAGGTGCCCTTCCCACGAGCCTTTGGAGAGACTGCCAAGACCTACGTGGGCACACGTCACATGATGCCATGCTCTCTACGGACTCTGTTTCCGCCAAGTGGCGTCCAGGGAGATGCTGTGCCGAAGCCCTTGGCGGCTTCCTCCCACAAAATCTGGCGGCGGGGGGGGCGCGCTTCGCTTCGCTTGTTCGCTTCGCTCCTTTGTGGCTGGTCAGCTCCAGGTTGGGGATGCCGAAGAGCTGCAGGTGGCGCTGTGCATCTTTCTTCTCCTTACAGAGAGAGGATATGGTTAGAGGACGAAGAGACGAGAGACCAAAAGCAGACCAAGCAGACTCATGTTTTCTATATAACTTTCAATTAACTGCGACTGAGAAGCTAAATAGCTCAGAGAGCGGACATCGGGCGTCTCAGGCACCTCTCCCTGTCCACGGCGGCCTCTTTCCATCTGGGGCTCACGCTCAGCCGGCAACAGCCAAGGCGCGACCACGGAGGGCGTCAACGCGCAGCGCACCCTCGCAAGGGCGTGGAGTTCATTGTGTTCACATTGCATCATGGCGAAGTCGTGGGAACAGTGTGGCAGTGCGGCCTCGGGGGTGGCTCGTTGACTGCCGTCTGCTCCGCCCGAGCACTGGGGAAGTGGCGGCGACTCGACGTCGCTGCCAAGAGCGTTGAGGAGGGAAGGACTCCGGAAATCGGAGGGCCAGGGGGGGAGGCCGAGCGCGCTCGTGATCGGCCGCGCCAAGGCAGCGCCAAGCCTCCACTCACTGAAAGCACCCATGCGGGTTCGCTCAAAGTCACTCTGCCGAGTCGCCGTTGCTGGAGAGCCCAGCCGGCTGACCTGAGCTGTGTAGACTTACTGGTCCGGGGCCGAGTCTGCCGAGTCCGTCTCAGAGCCCTGCTGGCCGACGAGACGGCCATGCGAGAGAAAGCACTCAAAGCGCCTTGAAAAAGCCTCTGCTCCACTAAATGCCGTTGCAGCCTACAGCTTGAGCCATGGCTGCGAAGACATGCGACGAAGGCCAAAGTCCAAAGAGGACCGGCTTGGAAGGACTAGGTGGCTAGGCTCTGCTTGGTCGAAACAGGCAGACGTGCAACTTGCTCCGCCTTGCCGTAGAGGGCCTCGGATCTATCCGAAAAGACACGGTCTAAGGTTCGTGATAGTGAATCATGGCCTCAAGTGCCAACAGCCGGCACTTCGATTGAGCAGCCAGCAGGAACAGCTTCAACTGATGGCAACAACTTCGCAAGCCTCGGACAGGTTCGACAAATGTGCTGAATCAGGAAAGCTGCCGCAACGCTCAAAAACAAGGAATTGGCTTGGAGAAGGCATGCAGGGCGTAGCACATCTCGAGCGCCACCTCCCGAAATCCAGTGCGCATCAAACTCCGCAACAATGCTCCAGCTCACTCATCCGCCTTTGCAGTCGGCATCTGCATCATAAGGACGCGCTGGGAAAGCCTCAAACATCACACCAAGCACATGGCTTGTCCGCTTGCGAGAACCGATGCCATTGTTTTCTCCGCACATCATCGCTTGGCCAGTATCTCACTGGCAGAACTCGCGCTTTCGAGGGTGTCGGGAGAGCTCACACACCTTCGAAAAGAAGCCCCCTGCTCAAGCTGTCGCCCTGACGAACGACTCGCTCTCCTGCCTTGGCTTTGAGGCAGGCTGCTTTGTCTGTGCACTTGCCGCCTCAGTCACAAGCATTCAACTCTTCTTGAGCCCCCAGCTAGAAAGAACCTCACTGTCACATCGGAGCGGTATCTTAGCGCGGCACAGTCTTTCCAATGTCCATCATGCACGCAGAACGCCTCCCACATCTATTACGGGAGGCTTTGGATTCGGACTGTTAGAAGGGGGCGTGCCGCAGGCGGGCCGCCGGGCCTGGCTTTCAACGTGGACCGTGCAGGACGTCGTGATGGAAAGAGCTTTGGCACGCTCTGCCGAGGCCTCAGCGAAGCTGAAACGAACGGAAGCCAGCTGAGCCAGGCGTGTCACTCCAGGGCAGGGGCGCGAAGCAACTCCTCGCCCAAACCCCCATCGCCCATGCAGGCCTCCCAGGCCTGCAGCTCCTGCAGAGACCGGAGCTGAGAAGCTGAGAGAGAGAGGGGCGAAGGCTCTGCCTTGGCGTCGAAGCCGGCGGAGCTCGCGCACGCCTGCGTCGCGCACCACGGCTCAGCCAGCACGGGATGTGTTAAGCCGAGGCTGAGCATCGCAAAGAATGCTTGGCTTGCGCACGCCGCGCGCGCGTGGTCCACCGTTTCTCAGCTGCAACCGCCGCCTCCTCCGCTCCCTCCTCCATCTGCTAATCCTCCATCCTGCTCCTAAGAGTATCTGCTCCAGATGAGGTGTCGATTGATAGCAGGGAAGGTACCAATGGCAGCAGCGATAGAGGTAGACGTAGAGGTGGAGCTGGTAGTGGTGGGAGGAGTAGTAGTAGTAGTAGTAGTAGTAGTAGTCGTAGTCGTAGTCGTAGTCGTAGTCGTAGTCGTAGTCGTAGTCGTAGTAGTAGTAGTAGTAGTAGTAGTAGTAGTAGTAGTAGTAGTAGTAGTAGTAGTAGTAGTAGTAGTAGTAGTAGTAGTAGTAGTAGTAGAGTAGTAATCGTAGTAGTAGTAGTAGTAGCAGCAGCAGTAGTAGTAGTAGTAGTAGTAGTAGTAGTAGTAGTAGTAGTAGTAGTAGTTATAGTGGTAGTAGTAGTAGTAGTCGTCGTCGTCGTAGTAGTAGTTGTAGTAGTACTAACAGTAGCAGTATTTGCAGTAGTACCCTACGCGCCATTATTTGATCGCGGGTCGAACTGCTCCTTGTCACGGGAGTTGGCGGTGGGGTCGGATGGGGGTTGTTAAACTCACCTGTTCTAGCGCATGCGGCGTACATATTGCACTGGCCTGTGCAGTGCTGCAAGCTGTGCTACTACCATTGTGGTGGTGATGATGCTGATGGTGATGACGCGGGATGTGAGTGATGATGATGGTGATGTTGATAGACGGTATCACATTACATACTAGACATACTATACAACACTGAAGCAAACAGCTCTTCTGTGAACGTACCATGATCTCCGATTTGCACCCCAGCGCAACAGAGCCCGATGAATGTTTCGAGCAAAACGAGTCCATCTCAAGCGCTGTGCACGCATTTGCTTCTCCAAACGACACATCAGACGCATGCAGTCCTGTTGTTTGCATCTCCAGGCTTCGGTTGACAATCAGACGAGCAAGGAACAACTATCAACTCAACCATCATCCTGTTGAACAAATAGATACCTGAGATTTCTGCCCCTCACGTGTCTGCAACGTGAAGGAGTGAATACCCACGAACTGCTGTAAAACACTATACGAAACCCAATTACCCTACAAAGCTCGAAACAAGAAAATGCTGCGATCAAGTAGCAGCGCGACGCCTGCTGCTGCTACTACTACTACTACTACTACTACTACTATACTACTTTACTACTACTACTACTACTACTACTACTACTACTACTACTACTACTACTACTACTACTACTACTGCTACTGCTACTGCTACTGCTACTGCTACTGCTACTGCTGCTACTACTACTACTACCACCACCACCATGTGACTGTAGTACATAGTCTGCGGGCCGTGCTGTGAGACTTGTGCTTTTATGCATGCGTGTGTATAATTCCTGTTCCATAACAATTTTGGCTCTAGTGAGCACGGCTGAAAGCTGTAGGTTGCTTCGCGTCGCTTGCGGCACAAGTTGTGCGCAGCGACGCCCTGGGCAGACGTTCGACGCTTTCGGGCACTGTGAAAAAGAGGGCAGCGCACGATTGCAGTAGTAACTCTGCGCCTGCCCGTGACCCTTTACTGTCGCCGGCCGCAGGTTCCGTGGCCCGCTCGGGACCCCGTTCCTCTGCCGGTACAGGACGCCCCGTTACCGCGGAGAGCCTTCAGGCCGAGCTGCGTGAGCTCTACCGCACCGATCAGGAGCCGGTGGCGGATTATCTCGCGAAAGTCTCCAGGTTGGTTGTGGCCTTGAAGGCGCACCAGGCCGAGGTCGAGGACTTCGGGAAGCTCACTACCAAGGCTACTCCTCTTGCTGAGGAGTATGCCAAGTTGGGTGGAGACTGGCACCCGGCCCGGATGGCCCTTCGGTCTCGGTTCTCCCTTGCGGCGGTCTCGGTTGATGCCGAAGACAGCACGATATTCGCATGATTCGCATGGTCCGTGTACATCACCACGGGTCTGAGCTGCAGACAGTGTCCAAGAACGCACGGGCGCGCGCCCGCATGCTTGCGTCCTGATTCCGTGCGGAGGGCCACGGTGCGGAGGGCCACGTAATAAGGCTGGCTGGGCATGGCCGGGCGGTCCTGCAGGGTGCTGCCCCGGTAAAGCTCGACAAGCTCGCCCTCCATGACCCGGTTCGGCCCGAACGGATCTCCTTCGAGGTTGAACCCGACCTCCTCGGCTGCTAGCCGTTGCTCTGCCAGGGCGCTCGCCTTGGACAGATCCCCGTGCAAAAACACGGTCAGAGTATCCATGGGGTCCACAAAATCCAGGAACTCCAAAGGAGCGTAGCTCCGCTCCAGCAGCTTGCCCGAGTAAGCACAGAAAGTCAACCGCGCTGGCAAACTCTTGGCCTTGGGTCCATCACTATATGCGGGCTGCAGCGAGCAGCACCGCCTCAGCCAAAGGAGTGAAACCACTCCACGCTGCAACTTCTCGCGGGAGCGATCTTCAGCCGAGCTGAAGGTGTAGTGAGAACCGAAACCAAGCTGCATGGCCGAGCCTGACAAGGGCTCGTCCAGCTGGTGCACCGTGTAAGCGACCGGTGCGCTCACCCGAATGCGGGAGTACCGAATGGGGCACTCGCGGATCAAACTTGACCAGGCGATCCTTCGCACTGATCTTGTATCCGCCTGGCCATCGATCAGGATTGGTCGCATCCTCCCAAGTGGAGGATAAAGGGCGAAGCTGACGGTTGCCCTCCTTGCTAATCGCACCTGCGTCCAAGGCCAAAGCTCACCGCCGGAAAACTTCCCTACACAATACAAGAAGTTGTGCGTGCCACGGAGGCTATGCACGTCGCGGTGTAACGGCATGTCCCCCGCAAAAGAAAAAGCCAAGGCATTCCAAGGCTCAGCTTCTACGCCACCCTTCTCGCAATGGGTCTTCAAAAACGCATTGAGGTATGTAGCGGTCTGCGGCCAATGGCGGGTCATCGACGTCACACCAACGATCCCCCCATGACGAAAACATCCTAGGATCAAGCGCGGCGAAGGCGCCGGAGAAACTCGACCCTTCGGAGCCTTGCGTGACTGACTGCCCGGCTCCAAGTGCCAAGATGTGGAAAGTCGATTTCGCGAATCAACCTCTCCGCAAACTTCTCAACCGTGTCTCACGCTCTGACGAGAGCGGTCACGGACTCTGAGAGGACCCCACAACCAGGGCACCCTCCCGACCCCCGCAGCACTAAGCTCCGCAAAAGACTTCTTCTCGAGGCTTTCGTACTTGGCTCTCGCCTTCATCGCCTTTGCCTCGTCCGACTCTCGTGAAAGGAGGCGGGGCGCTATGACCCGGTCGAAGACCGCCGAGGGCGTGGCCTCGTAGTCCCCGTTGTGCTTTGACTCTTTCACGATCGTATCGTAGCATCGGCGACGCGTACCCTTGAGTGTCCGGAACGAACAACCGCAACTTCTCGCGATCATTCTTTGGCTTCACACCAAGCAGACGTCCTGAGAAGCCTCGAGATGCTTGTCCAAGTCCGCATCCTCATCGCCAAAGACGGGCAAGTCGTCACGAAGATAATACGTAAAACGCTCTTCTCTTCCTTCAAGGTCTTGAGCTCCTGGGCCCGCTCCTTCGCTTCCTGTTGCCGCTGCTTGCGCATCTCTTGCACAATGGCAAGCAAAGCGGACTCGCCCCCTGAGTTATGGGAGGAGATGTCGACGGTCTGTGGCTTCGAACCCATGGGCTGGCCACGGTCCCAGGAGCTAAGGCCGGAGGTAGAGCGGTCAAAGAGCCCACTCGCTCTGACCTCCTCACGAGCATCAGGCTCGCGACTTCGGCTCCTAGGCATCTCTTCCTCGTGGATGGGACCCACGCCAGCGGCCGCATCCAAGAACCGGCCTCGGTGGGGTATCATCGTCCGGGTCTCGGCGCCGAAACTTGGACGGAGAAACCAACCCACAATTCTCCCACAACCAGTCGTGCGAGCTGCGCACGGATCCCGCACAACTCGGCAGGAGGCTTCGGGCCTCGAGGGCATTTTCTGCCTTTTCTCGAAGCGACAGCAGCCTCGCTTGCACTCGACCCGAAGAGTCGGTACTACCAGCCTCTGAGTAGGCGTCGGCGGCTCCTTTGTAGCGATAGTAAATCGCCACCGGGCCCGCCCTTGGCATCTGCATGAGTTTGCTGATGCCACGTCAGGGCGCAGAAGCTGCACGGCGTTGTGCGGCACAAGTTTGTGAACCGCAAAAAAGCTGTCCGGAACTGAGCTTCTCCAAGACAGCACTCTGCAACGGAAATGGCCTCGTCCCTGCAGCCTGCACGGGCCACCTCCACTCCCTGTTGGAGTCGCACCCACGCGCTTTAAGCTCGTTTCGTAACTTTTGCCCTGTAGGGATCTCAGGTGTTGGCGAGGTTCCAGCGCGATACGCTCGCGCTCTTCGCGCGTCGCAGCGGGACGCGAGGGCTCACTGCTCCGACCTCTCAAACTGCGTGAACAGGGTCGACCAGTGGTCGGGCGTTCGTGGCCAGAAAGCATCTTGCTGTCAGTTCCCAGAACAGCCCCCAACTGGAAAGAGTGGCGGATGCCACAAGAAAAACCCTAGGGAAGACAGCAAGAGCAGTTTAGGCTTAGCAACCTTACCCCAAAACCCGGAAAAGCACGGCGGTTTGTTTGCCGCGCGGCGGGCAGCGCGCTACAGTCTGAGAGCGTTCCACGAAGGGAACGGCTACTGTACCAAGGGCTTACCAACTGCCAAGCCGCAGTTGCTCTGACAACACAAGTTGGTTACCTTATTGGCTATGGCACTAGGGCCTTAGGGTTCCTAAACGGCAGCACCGACTACGGCGCCACCTTGATTGGCAAAGGCAGCTGCGGCAGTTGAAAGCTACAACTACACTCGCAAGACAGCGGAGCTTGTCGTGTGAGGTGCCCTGTTCAGCAGCAGCCGGAGCAGGAGCAGGAGCAGGAGCAGGCGCAGCAGCAGCAGCGGCAGCAGTCCTAATTAGTCACAGTCGGATCCTACAGCTGCTGTCGACCGAAGCAACCAACAAAGACCAGAAGATTTGCTGCTGATATTTCCAGCTAAAGGAGGACAGCATGTGTTGTGCAACAGCCGCCACCTTGCCATTCTCTGGTATGGTCCCAGCGTCCTGGCCATACATTTGGGGACTTCTTGGAGGGTCCGACAGCCCATTTCAAGGCCTGGCACAAGGCGAAACGTAGACCTGCGCCCTTAGCGAAACCCCAAACCATGGGACAGAGGAAAGCGATGGCGGACTGAGTTTCGAGTAGGGAGCACACAGAACGAGAAGTGAGGGCCGTCTGAGCACAAAGACGCTGCTGATCTCCGACGCACTCGGCTGGCCCATGCATGCACTGCACAGGCTGCTGGCCGTTTTCCTGTGTCCGGTGTGGGCTCTTCCGTGCACTAGAGCACTGGTGAGGCCAGGAGCTCTGCCTGCGTTTTGCTCGAGTCCGCAATGTAGGTGAAATTCACGGTGACCAGCTGGGCCAAGTCTTCCAGAACCTGGGAGAGAGAAACTCCGGGACGCTGCCGCGGCGTTGAGAGGACACAGAGAAGCCTCGGGCCCGCACCGGCAAAAAGGTCTCTTCGCAGAACTTGGCATCGGGACCTCTCTGCACGGCGCCCGCCCCTGTTTTCGGAAAGCCTGTGACCCTGTCGGAGCGGACATTTTGACATCACGAAGAACTCGACTGCAATGGCATCCTTCGGGCTGCTCGATGTCTCTCCTCAAAGTGGGGCACATTGTCACATGCCAAGTGGCCGCCCTCAGCGCGTGCAGCTAAGGAGGCAGCTCTGCCTCTGCCGCTCTTTCACCTGAGACTCTCCAAAAACCGCCCGCCACCCCGCCCGCCACTCACCGCGACACACCCCAAAACGCTGAAAAACCACGCCGGCGAGTGAGCAGCACTCCGCATCACACCTTGCGCATGCTCGCGAACGCTTCGAGAACTCAAAACGCAGGCGATCGCGTTGACTCCCGGCCCCTTGGAACCCCGCCATTAAAACGAGAACCTTCTGCTATGCATTCGGGAACATTGCAGTCCTGTTCGAAAGTTGCGAGATTTGAACTTGAAGTGGAACTGTCAAGCAAGCGCGAACTTGTTGCAAAGCCTCCTCCAAGTTTCCAAACCATTCGAATCATCATTCTGAGGAACGATAAGCTCAGCAGAGTGTTGGCAAATTTTGACAAAACTTACGAGTATTGAACCCCTCTTGTGAAAGTACTCCTCGGGCGGGAACCTCCTGATCAATATCACCTCATATCACCTGTGTCCAGCACATGTTCACAGGTAAGTTTTTTCACCAAAGTTCTCTGCTCTTCCGAGTGCTGACCACGGTTGGCTCTCGAAAGGCAGGCCCTAAGATTTCAATACCATTCTTCCCATGTGTCGAGTTTTCCACGAAGATTTTTGGTGGAGGAGCCGTCCTCTACAGTTGTGCTCTACCCCAAGAGGCATCCAGGTGAACGTAGCTTTCAAAGTCCCTGCTGTAAGTGACAATGACCCTCAGAGTTCTCACAGCTCCTGGTGTTTCCAGGGAGAGTCAGAGCTTGAAGTGGCAAAGTGCATGAAGCTCAACCACCACCACGACCACCACCACCACCACCACCACGACCACCACCACGACCACCACCACGACCACCACCACCACCACCACCACCACCACCACCACCACCACCACCACCACCACCACCACCACCACCACCACCACCACCACCACCACCACCACCACCACCACCACCACCACCACCACCACCACCACCACCACCACCACCACCACCACCACCACCACCACCACCACCACCACCACCACCACCACCACCACCACCACCCACCACCACCACCACCACCACCACCACCACCACCACCACCACCACCACCACCACCACCACCACCACCACCACCACCACCACCACCACCACCACCACCACCACCACCACCACCACCACCACCACCACCACCACCACCACCACCACCACCACCACCACCACCACCACCACCACCACCACTGCAACCTCTGCCGAGCCATGCTCGCGATAGTTGCCAAGTCCGTGAGCTGTGATATTGCTGGAAGCGCCCCGCTTCGCGCTTTGTGCTTGCGTCGACGGGTTGGCGCAGCCCGTTTCTGCCATCTGTCGATGAACGCTGGCCGATGGCAAATCGATACTCGATCCAACCGCAATCGTGATTTAGTTGCCCACACTTCAGCACGGAATAATCGAGCCAAACTATGCTCTGACGGGCTCGTCTGAGGGTCAAGCAGCGTGGCCACGGATCGTCGTACGGAGTCGAGAGCCTCGCTGCTCGCTACAACGCGATGTTGAGCAGCCTTTTCATGCCTTTTCTGGGCCTTCACAGACAGCGAAAAGGACGCAGATCAAGAGCCAGACCTGGAGAATGCACGCAAGTGGAAGCTTGTCGATTTCGAGTCGTGCAGAGACGGAACTTTCATCCACCTTCATTTTCCCTGCAGTAAGCTGCCCATGGCATGTAGGAGGAGGGAATCAAATGTCAGAAACATGTCAGGTATGAGCAATGCAACCTGGCCATGAATTGCATCGGTCCGTTCGTGCCCAAAGGGGCTGCAGGAGTCGGCCATCAGACTTTGCCGCATTGCCCTTGCTCGGCACTGCTCCGTGGATCCCCACCAGGCTGTTTGCGAGTAGTTTCGCAAACCAGTGGGGTCCACCTGCCAAAGAAAGGCTTGCACCACCACAGTGCCACAGTGCCACCACATACCATCTGCTAGGCTAGGCACTGCTAGGCTTCCGCCCCTCATGACAAGTTGCATTTGGGACGCTAGTTGCTAGTTGCCCGAAAGCTGCATAAGCTGCCATTTACAGACGCAAGGCTGTTGCAGCCTACCGCTGCCCGCACCCCCTCCCCCCGCCGGAGGCTGCCCATTTCGTGCATTTCGTCTCCTCCTGTCTCGTGACGTGTTGTTGCGTTAGTACGACTGGCGATTGCCCCTGCTGCTGCGATTCAAAGATTGAAAGACATGGGGAGTCACTCTTATTCTTGGATACGGGGGCGCTGAGGCACCTAAAAGAGTTTGCCATCAAACCTTTTCTTTTCGGGCTTAGCGACTGTCTTCTCTAGTAGCCTTTGCTCGTATTGACATCCCCTGGGCCTGTGACTTTCTCGCTGCGCTGAACAACCCTGTGACTCACATGGCATACCGCCAGATGACCTCCTTGTCCTTCCGTGCATTTCCGTGCCTTTGCGTGGTATCATGTGCACTAGTCATCCTGGTAGCTGTCTGCTTGGACATGTCGTCGGCCGGCCTTTTTGCGATGCTCTGGCCGGGTGCCTTCTCCACAACGACCATCTCTGATGCTTCGTGAGTCGATGGGTGCAGCAAAGAGCACCACGCTACAGTGCAGCTGCCCACGCCGCGCCCTCCCCGCGGTCCCCGCGCCTTGCTGGTGGCCTGGACCCAGCAGGGATGCCAAGTCTTCGTCCTCAGCCCCCGGGCCTCGGGCTCGGCGCAGACTTTGCTGGGGCCCCGGAGCTCCCCCTCCCCCCTCCCCGCCTCCTGCAGAAAGGCTCGGAAGAAGCCGTCAGCTTGTGCCTCCGCAGGTCGGCTCCCTCTGCCTCTCTGCCTCTCTGCCTCTCTGCCTCTCTCTCTCTCTCTCCCTCATCTCTTTCACTGGGCTTCAGGACCTTACAGACCGTAAGGTACGGCGGCTTCTTTTCATTTCCCCCTCGCCAACGCCCCAATAGTTCAAACCAGCAAATCTATACACTCTGCTTGGACTCTACCTCTGCCTTCAGTCTCAGACAGAGGACATGTGAAGCGCCCCCCCCTCCCGCCCCCCCCCACACCACACTGACAGTATCCGTCCTGTTGTGGAAAGGCAGTAACGAAGAAACGCTCTGTTTTTTCGCCGTCTCAGAGCGCCGAGCTGAGCACGGGTCCGGATTCGGCGGCATCTTTGGCCAGGGCAGGAGAGTCCTCTACGTATGCCGCGGCGACCTCCGGATGCCGTTTCAAGAGCCAGGTCCTCACGAAGACGAAGTCTTGGGCAGTCAGGGAGGAGGAGGAGGAGGATACTATATACTATAGGCTCGGGATGAGTCTGAAAAACGCTGAGGCTCTGACACAAGCATCTCTCTCGGCTTCTCAGGAAAGCGAGCGGCCAAATGGCGCAGCCACAGCTCCTTGCGTTCCTTGCGATCTTGAAGGATCTCATGAAGACCTCCGACGAACAAGGCTTTTAGGCAGTTGCAGCATACGTCATGCCTAGTAAACATTGCTGTTTGTAAGCCAAGCTGCGGCCGTCTTTGAAGATGACACCCAGCAGCAACGGATCCAAATGCCGTGCTGCCGTGCAGAAAAGCTTGAAGTATCCCAGAGCTTTGCCATCATCAGCACTCCTGTGCCACGAAGGCATTGGATTTGTCGTTGAGCTTCATCGAGAATCTAGCTTCCTTGTGGCCTGGAGCCAGTTCGGATTCTAGCTAGCGTTCAGAAGTCGAGACAGCACTAGGAGCTTCTGCCGAGAGATACGAGTGACATGCTCAAATGAAAGTGGAACGCCCCCATGACATGATGATGCTGACGATCTCTTCCAGGAGCGTGCTTCAATTCAAGGTGCAACCGGCATCCTCCGAGCAAGAAGTATGTCCAGCAATCTTAACTATGCCCTCCCTATGACTGTCGCTGCTATTGCTTTGCGAGCCAATTTCGATAAGCCGAGGTGCGAAAGGGTTCGCTGAGCCAGTGCTTTCAACATCCGGCGCTGCAGATCCAAAGGGCGAGTCTCGCCTAGCAGATTAGGGCCGCAGGTCAAGGCCTGCGCGCAGGCCGTCTCCAGGAGGCCGCGCAAGGCCTCGAAAATCTCCTCGCCGTTTCCGTTTGCGGCCGTTTCGAAGCCCTGAAGGCCAGCTTCCAGCAACTCAAACACCAACGTCACCAAGTCCACTGTCTCTGTCTGGGACTCCCGTGCATCCCCCTCGCTGCGTTTCACAGCCAGAACGGTCAAGGTCAAGGCCCTCGCGGCCAGGCGCGGCGTGTGGCCCGCTCTAGCGATGCGCTTCAGTATTCCGAGGACGAGGGAGTCGGAGAGTATCTCTTCGAGGAGCTTCTCTTCTGAAAGCATTCCCAGCCAAAAGTGGAGCCGAGAGCTCGCTGCAAAGTGGGAGCTGCCATGCAGGCTTTCTGCCTCCAACTCGCAAAACGTGCTCAACATGGCCTCAGCTTGTGCGAGGTCTAGCAGCTAATGCAGCGGCACAGGATTCTGGCCGTGCCTTGCGGAAGTCGCCGTCGTGACAGCCGGACTTTACGATGCTCAAGCAAACAGCGCGGTACTCCTCTCTGCATGTGTCACCGCACATCGAGAGTTCAGCAGGCTTCCGTCTCCCTTCTCCTTTCCTGACTGTCTTCCCGGAAGATGTCGACACAGCTCACTGCTCGAAGCAATCTCACCAGCACACGCGGCGATGAGAGCTTTGGCAAATGCGCCGCCTCAGGAGGCGAAAGCGAGCGGAAGCGTCCGAAGCGAGCGTTCGAAGCAAAGCGCGCGAGGAGAGAGGAGAGTTGGGGGGGGGGGTACCTTTAAAGGGGAGATGTAACTCGCGTTCGCGTCCGCTTCGGCCTCTCGAGCGATGGTCGCCACTGCGAAGAAAGCGGAGAAAGTGAACCATCGCCTGCGCTGGGCCCGGGGCCCCCCATTTAAAGCGCTGCTTTGCTGCCAGCCGAGCCCATTTTTTCCCCAAGCGCCTTGCTGGTTGCGAAGATCTGGCATCTGGATGACAGCTCACAGCCAGTGCCCACTGCTCCAACGGGTCCATCAGCCTGTTCAGACACTGGTTTGCAACCTGAACTGGCCGGATCCGCTTGTCTTGGCCTGGCCAATTGAGATTCCTCTGACAGGTTAGCAGCACACTTCCCAATGGCCGCACAGAAGCGAGGCACCAGCACCTGCCCAGGTCACAGCCAGGGCTCTAGGGTGTGTACAATGTGAAAGCTCATTATGCTCGAAGCAGCGGCCCCTTAGCATTGGCAGCCTGGCTCTGCTTCAACAGTTCAACTTTCCAGGACGTTGGAGTCAAGTGGGTGCACGTGCAAGATAGATTGACGTCGGCGGAAGCAACAAGCATTGAAAAGGCCGTGCATTGGCTTCAAGGGCGCAGCCCCTGCTTACCTAGCCACGTTGCCGAAACTCGTGGACAACAGAAATTGCACAGGCAGCCCAACGTGACCCGGAACAGGCTCAACATTACCCCTACGTGACGTACCCCAGCATCTGCATCTTATCCTCACATATGCAGACGGACGAGTAGGACCAGACATCCAAAAACCATACGAATGAAAGACCGCGTTCTTCCAGACATATCACTGCGACACCGTGGCTGCTCCGTGGAGGTTTCAGGCGAGTCTGCTGAGCTGTTGGAGTCTCTTCAACATCCGCTTTACATCGTTATTCATGGGGTCCATCCTCCAACTTCACTTCAAGATCCTGCCGGGACTGCTTGCCCATGGCGCCGTAGTCGCATTGCGCGGCGTAGCGGAAGCCCATTTTTCCTTGTAGCTCAAGGCGCCTTCGGTAAGTGCGGCTTTTTGTTGCTCACGCTTCGGAGCAACACACCGTCGAGAGGCTTAAGCAAGCACAGCAAAAATTACACGCAGTTTTGAGGCAAACGGCCCTGTCTCACATGCATGAAAGGGTGTTTTGACCCAGCGTCGCAGGAACACGCCTGAAGGTTTGGCTTGCGCTGGTGGCTGTCCCACGGTCTGTTTGCCGAGTTGACGTCCATGATCACGAGTTTGTAGCGAAGGGTGCTCAGGATCTCAAACGCCAACTTAACTTGGTGTGTTGCTGGGACTGGCGCAAACCGCTCAAGCTCTTCAACATCCCTAGTTCCTGAGTTCCTGCGGCGTCTTCTTTGTGAGGATGCAGCTCGACGGGACGCTGCGATGCCCAAAGTCGGCCGCGATGTTGCGGATTTCCACCGGGCCAGTGACAAAGCGGATGGCTGGAGTTGGGCTTGGCGGCGAACATCTTAAGCTCCTCTGCGTTCAGAGCTCGCTCTTGCAGTTCTTTCCCAGACTTGTTGGTCAAAGGAATCCACCCTGAGTGCCGCTCAGAATGCGTGTGAAGAGCTTCCCGGAGGGTTCCAGATCCGGGCATTCGCGATGATGGGGAAGTTTTGCCAGGGGCCACACAATCGGCCATCCAAACACCTCCAATCTTTGACGTCGGTCTTGCTCTACTGATGTTACCTTCGTGCCCACGCTTCAGTGGTAGAGGGGTCGCTTAGCCAACTTTTTTTCGGGTCGCTTAGCACGCTCCAGTTTTGGTCGCTTGGCACGCTCATTTTCACAGGTGTTGGAAGCCCAACAAAGAACCCTAAAAGGAAACCCTAAACCCTAAACCCTAAACCTTAAACCCTCAAAGGAAACCCAAAACGCTAAACCCTAAACCCTGAACCCTAAACCCTAAACCCTGAAAAGAAACCCTAAACCCAAAACCCCCTGAACCCTACACCCAAAACCCTAAACCCTAAAAGGAAACCCTAAACCCAAAACCCCCTGAACGCTACACCCAAAACCCTAAACCCTAAAAGGAAACCCTAAACCCTAAACCCTGGACCCTAAACCCTAGACCCTAAAAGGAAACCCTAAACCCTGAACCCTAAACCTTAAACCCTGAAAGGAAACCCTGAACCCGAAACCCTAAACCCTAAAACCTAAAACCCTAAACCCTACACCCTAAAAGGAAACCCTAAACCCTAAGCCCTCAACCCTAAACCCTGAAGCCTAAACCCTAAAAGGAAACCCCACACCCTTAACCCTAAACCGTAAACCCTAAACCCTAAAAGGAAACGGGTTTCCCTAAAAGGAAACCGTGAACCTTGAACCCTAAACCTTAAACCCTGAAAGGAAACCCTAAACCCTAAAAGAAACCCTAAACCCTAAACCTTAAACCCTGAAAGGAAACCCTAAACCCTAAAAGGGAACCCTAAACCCTAAGCCCTCAACCCTAAACAGTGAAGCCTAAACCCTACCCCACACCCTTAACCCTAAACCGTAAACCCTAAACCCTAAAAGGAAACCCTAAACCCTAAGCCCTCAAGCCTAAACCCTAAACCCGAAAAGGAAACCCTAAACCCTAAGCCTTCAACCCTAAACCGTGAAGCCTAAACCCTAAAAGGAAACCCCACACCCTTAACCCGAGAGATGAGTGTTGTCCCAATTGCACGCACTCTGCGCCGCGTTTTTTCTCGGGAATTCTCATCTCCATTGAGCCATCAGCAGCCGAGCAGCCACCCGCAGCCACCCTGCCGGCTTCAAGCTTCCGATCCTCTTCACAACATTCGCCTCCGTGGCCTCCGCCATGGCGGGCTGGATCTGCTGACCCAGCTGTGACGGGGTGAATTCCACCGGCACTTCTGTACTTCTGCTTCTTGCAGATCATCGCAGTTTTCGCTGCTAAATCACTTGTAAGTCCTCCACGTGTTCCTTTTCCTGCGGGCTGGAAGGGCGCAGCTGCACGCGGCCATCCTCGTCCACGGCCATTGGGCCTGAGGTCCTGATCGGAATTGGAGGTTCTGGGTCTCGCTTGGCCCGGCTTGCCACACTCCCTAAAATCGTGGGGCCTGCGACGCCTTTGCGGCGGACGCCGCCCACAGTAGAATGCAGAGGTTGAGTTTCAGCTTTCTATTTTCTCTGGTAGCTCAGCGTGCCTTCGGTAAGTGCGAATATCTTCTGCGCAAGCTTCGGGGAAAAACAACAAATACCTTCGAGGTTTTACACTAGGTCTCACAGACAGAGATTGAAACAATGAAACAACTTTGCGAACACCGGCCAAGCCGAACGAGGCTTGTGTTTGGGGAGGTTGCTGTGGTCGTGCCTGGCGGACCGACGAACGACGCTCGCTCTCCAGCTCGTTGACCGGTATGGTTAAGAGCCGTTCCGGCAGAAGCTCCCGGCAAAGCGTCTCACAGAGGCGGGACACGATCTTTACGTGGAGGTGCGCCGGACCTCACAGGAACGAAGTTGCATGTGCCAAGCGGGGATCCCGCCTTCAAATGCGCAGGCAAGGCTCAGCAGTCCAGTGCTGCTGTGAAGATGCACTGTGCCAGGAATCCGTCTTCCTGCGGAAAGCGTGCCAGGAGGCCGCTCACGGCGCCCTGGTGGTCGCCGGTCCGAGCCAACATAAACGCGGCCAAACCTGCACTGCAATGCACTCCTCATGCTAAGACGCACAGCTGTTCCCATGCCAAAGCCAAGCGGCAGTGTTCAGGCGACAGCTTCTGCCACCCACAGGTCCCAAGAGCAGGCCCATGCCACTCCCAACTCTTCGCATCTGCTGGCCAAGCCTCGACAAGGCATGCACGGCCTTCTCAGTGTTTGAGCGTTTTCCAAGGGTCCAGGGCAGCTTCGGAGCCTGCTGGAAGCGCAGCATGCGCTCGAGAATGGAAAGCTCCGAGACCGCAGTCCCAAGACTCTGACTCTCCTTACCCAGCAAGGACTCGGCGAGCAGTCTGGCCATCGGCTCGGACACTAGCGGCCACACCTCGGACGCAGCGAAAGTCAGCCGGAGCCAAACTGCCGCAGTGTTTTGGGGCTCCGGGCTTGCAGGAGGCTCTGCAGGTGCTGCTGGAAGTATGTGGAGGTCCAAAGGTCGGAGACCGAGCACCTTGCGGCCAGCTCTGCCCAGGTGCGTCGGTGCTCCAGAGGAAGCTCGGAAACCTCCGCAGCGGAGCTTCTCTGGGCCCTAGTTGGAGAGTTCGAGTCGAACCAAACCTCATGCGCCTGGGACATGAGGTCCCCAAGCAGGAATACGTAGCGGTTGTTGTCCATCGCTTGGTTTGCCAGAGGGCTGCCGAGATACCATGCGCCAGACATGAGCCTCGACTGCGATCCGAGAAGACAACAGGCTGAGGGATGGGGCCCTCTGGGCCATGCACCCGCCCCAAAGCTGCAGGTGATCAAGGAAGGCCGTGCTGAAGAGACTCTTGTCTGGATCATCGTGAGCCAACTTCGCCAGCCTGCTAGCCATGTCTTCACGTGACGTCACACATCATCCACAGTGTGTATGTATACATATACATACATACGCATGTATGTATGTGTGTGTAAGGATTATGTGCATGTATATATATATATATATATATATATATTTTTTTTTGTACACAGGTATATGTATACACATATGTTTGTATGTGTATAGGAAACGCTATTTTAGCAACCGCGCACTTGAGCCAAAAGATAAAGTCAGTGTGAAACAACTTCAAATGAGACCCATACCCAAACAATACCCCAAATCCAGTCACGCCTCCCGAGTAGGGATCACGCTTTGCTTTCCCTGCGAGTTCTTTGGGGTATTCCTCACGCCTTGCCCAAGGCCAGCTTATGCTTCCCAGACCTGACCCAGTAGCCCATCCGACCAAGCAGCTTAGTTGCAGTTTGGCCGTCCGACGGCTTTGTCATGAGGTCCGCCAGCATGTCTTGAGTGTTGAGGCGTATCCTTCCTTGATCCACTATCTCTTGCACCCAGAGGTAGCAGGTGTCAATGTGCTTGAGCTTTCCCAGCCTTCGCCGGAGCCGATGGATATGCCTGCACTGGCATCCATAGCTATGTTGACAGACAGCTTAATGCCCCAATCTGCCATCATTGCTTGCTCTCCCAAAGCGGTCGATGCAGTTGAGATCAACCCATAGTACTCTGCTTCCCCTGTGGACATGGCAATCACGGCTTGCCCCTTGGCTGCTGTCTTCACCGTCACTTCTCCGAGCTGGATCACAGTTCCAGTCGTGCTTTTCCTAGTCTTGATACATCCAGCGTGGTCGCTGTCAGACCAGGCATTGATGCTCGTGAAGTGCTCTTGATACGGAATCAATTGCACCAGCCTAGGAGCTCCTCGGAGATATCTGGCAGCTCTCTTCAGGAGACCCCAATGGTGTTGTTGAGGCTCCTTCAGTCCTTTCGCTAATTCCCGGACAGTTCTTAGCAAGTCGGGTCTGTCCATTGACAGATAACCAATCCGCATAGCGATAGAACGGTACAAAGCTGCTTCAGCAGTTCCAAGTGGAGTCTTGTCCATGTCCTCTTCTTTGACCTTGACCAGTGGAGTGGTCACAGAGACTCCCTTTTCCAGACCCAGCTGTTCCAGAACCAAGCCTACATGCCTAGGGTCGGCTTCCATTTCGATGCCCTCATGGGTCCACGTCACTAGGCGATTCAAGACAGAGATTTGATGAATCACGCCTGGCAGCTCCGAACCGGGTCTAGCCAGGATGCCTCTTGTCTCTACTGTCCAAACCTTGCCTAGTTCAGCCTCCAGCCATTTGAGCTCTTCGTATTCCAACCACTGTGAAATCATCTCCATGGACATTCAGTTGCAAGGATTTTTCCTCGTGGAAGTACAGGCATGGATTGCTTCGGCCCTGCCTGAAGCCCAAGCCCTCCAGAGCATCCTTGATGGCTTTCTCCCAATTGGAAGGTGCATCTCTGGTCCCATACAAGGAACGCTTCAAAAGCCCGACCTTGTCTCGTCCCTCTCCAGCTTCTGGTGGAAGTTCAACAAGCAATCTTCGGCGCACCGGGCTCCAAAAATGAGCTTTCTTCACATCCAGAAACATGAGACAGACCTCGCCTCCAGACCCTACGGGTGACAGCTTCCCCCGAGTGTTGGGTATACGCTGTGTTGTCGCTAAGGTGAATAGCGCCCGAAGAGAACTTAACGGCGGCATGGCGGCAAAAAAGTCGCTCCAAGTAGACTGTAGACTGGTCATCTGGCTGTTGCGGGCCGCGCGCCTTTTGAGTTCTTGAGCGACTAATCGGGATCTCAGCTTGAGACGAGCACCATCTCCCTCATTGATGTCTATCCATCTCGTGCCGATCACCTTCTCATTTGCAGGACGTGGTATGACTTCCCATACCCCCATCTGCTTTATGACGCTCACTTCCTCAGCCCGGGCCGCTTTGACCCCTTCAGCTGGAAGCTCCTTCCCGGTGAGGTCATCATAGAAGGTTTCCGCAAGGATCTCTTCTGCTAAACCATCCACCAAGTCGCAAGTGGGGCTGCTCAACTCCTTCCAGGGATTCGACCCATGCCTTCCGCTCTCCAGCGATAAGCGTTTCGATCATACCCTCGGTATCTGCAGCCTTGCGCTTAGCAGCTTCTGCTCGGTCCTCTGCAGGCCTAGGTTCGGACAGCTCTTGGTCACCTTGGTCCTCGCTCTTCCGCTTGCTCGCCGAAGCAGCTTCCGAAACGGTAACTGCTGGCTTCTTGCTTTCCCTGGCCGCGGAAGCAGGCTCTGCCTTTGACGGTTTTCTCTTCTCCACTGTCTTAGCTGCTTGGCTCGGTAGCCTGCTAGGTTGGCTGGGCTCGCTCGCCTCTGCGCCTCCTGGCTCCGATCTTTCTTCTTTCTCTGTTGCAGCTTTCCTCTTTTTCTCCTCTGCCTCGTGGACCTTCGTGAAGTACTCGGTCTCGCGCTGAATCTCTCGCTCCAGGCGGGCTTGGCCCTGAGAGGTTTCCTTCAGCGCCTCTTGGATCCGAGCTCTACACTTCTCGTTGTGATTGATGCCTTGGCGTTCTCTGCCTTCGCGAATGGCACCGCAGGCTTCACAGCCCCCGGTACAACCAAACCTCTCCAGGTCGCTTTGCCGGATGTACATTCTCCGATACGTAGGCAACCGCTCGGTTTGTCCCGGCTGTGGTGGCAGCTCTGCTGGCGCAACCACAGGCTCGATCGCGATAGGCTCTGGTAGTCGGTCCGCATCCACGTCCGGACTTTGCTCGGGATTCGGCTGCCAAGGGGTTCCTTTAACAGCCTTCAGCATCTCGAGATTGAACTGCTTGTCCGCTAGTTTCCTTGGGATCGACTGTACCACCAGGATACCCGAGGGTGTCCCGATAATCTTTTCCGAGCTTGTCAGCCGCAGTCCCAGGTAGACTCCTTCTTGCCACCTTGCAAGCTTGGCGATAGTCCACGATTTCTCCGAAACTTGGAAGAGCTATCTGCCAAGTCCGGCCTTTCAGCTTCTGAAACGCTGTCATGCCCTCGCTCTCCTCTTGAGAGAACAGGGTGTGGAGCGCCCCTGCATACTCGATCACCCAATTAAGGGAAGATAACCGAGTCCTTGGGCAGTTCCCCTCCAGCACTCTGCTCAAGGGCATACTTCATCGTGGTCACCTGTCCCTGCACACGTTGAACCGCGTTCTCTACCCCAGCCAATTCAAGTCTCGAAGCACTGCCTTCTCGGGATAGGTCGAACCTTCCGTCCCTTTGGTTGGCAGCAGATGAGAAAAGATTGCCTTGGAGGTGGTCTCTCAAGACAACTATCGGCAAGCTCTTTCCTGGCACTCCCTTCTCAGAGAAGTACAGGTAGTCCACTGTGGAGTCTCGGCCCTCGTGGTGATGCGAGTAAGATCGCCCTCTTCCAGCAACACACGCCGGGCACGACGATCTGTAGGGGATGTGAGTCACTTCGTGCTCTGCCACCATGTGAGGCGTTGGCACAGGTGGAGCTCGAAGAGGTCTCGCACGCTGCGCCTCTTCGGCTCCTGGCTGGGCGGATCCCGACTCCGCCTGGCGTGGCTCTTCCCTAAACGGCTGGGCTCCATCCTCCTCCACATCAGAATGGATCGGGAACACCTCCGGCTCCAGAAAGAGGTTTCTTCTCCTTTCCTCGTTCCCCTCTTTCTCCTTCCTGCTTTTCCTTCCTTTCCTTTCCTTTACCACCAACCAAACCCCTAAACCAACCGGGGTTAGGGTCTCCCAAATTCCTACCCTACAGGCACTTTCGGCCTTTTTCACTCCTACCGCGCCAAAGTGGCTCTGAAGGTGAAACGCTACGGCTCTACTGCGTCGGGCCTCCTCAAGTCCTCAAGGTTCCTTCCCTCCAACCTTCGCTGCGAAAGGTGTCCCTTTGAACTTTAACCTCATCTGGAACCTTTGAAAAGGCGTCGGTCGGCACGAATGCCTTGGGGCCCAGCCTTACGCAGGGTGAGGGTGCTTCAGAACCTCGAAGGTGGCTCGAGGGCTCCCCTTGACCCGAAAGGTCACAACCCCTCCAACGGCCAGGAAGAGGTCCGCCCTCTTCTTGGCAAACACCAACGCGTTCCCCTTCTCCATCACCCTGCCTGTCGAAAGCAGGCACCTCTTCACGTCCGCGTGCACCTGCACCTTGCAGACCGACCGTCAGGTGACGGCCCGGACAGAAGCAGCTCCGTAGAGCCCTGGTTCTTCAAGCGCCAAAGGCGTAGCACGGCCCTGGCTTAGCAACCGCTGGTAGATATCGCGCGGCATCACATTGTGTGACGCGCCGATGTCCAGGATGACCTCCATAATCGGCTTGCGACGGGTAGCTGCCGAACCGGCCGCTCCCCCGTCCAAGGAAAACGCAGTTCCCACACGGCCCACCAGGCCGCCCTCTCCGTCCGGAGGGTCCTCAAGTGGCACGTGGTCCGTGTCGGGGTCTTCCACCTCGACCTCTTGTTTTCGGCGGCCGCCTGCTGCCTAAGTCGGCGTTCCGCCACCTTTGCGCGAACCCTTCGCACGTATTCCGCAGCTCTCTCGGCCGCTGTGGCGTGCGACGTGCGCCGCCTTCCACAACACGACTCAGTCTGAGTCCAGCAGGTCCCTCGTCAGCTTTGCTCCCACTGACCCCCGAAGGGAGCAACCTGCCCAAGTTGCCCAACCCCCGTCACGGAGGAGGTGCCTCCACTGGCCTTTGCTTTGGCACTAGCCCTTTCACGAACTGGTCTCTGAAGGTGGCAGGTCTCGAGACCAGCCCGCGCCGCTCCAGATTCCCCAACTTTTGTGGTCTTCTTCTTCGTCGCTCCTTCCGGTCCTTCGGGTCGTCGTCTCCCTGGAGCATTTCCAGGAAGCCCACTTCGGCTTCGTACTCCTCGTCTTCCTGCTCGGGCTCCTCCGCGTCTCCTTCGCCTTCCTCTTCGGCCGAAGTAAGCTCACGCGGGTGGCCCTTTCTACCCCGGCCCCGACCTTGAGCCTTACCTATACATTCCCCGGGGCCTAAAATTTCAGTTGTTTCGGAAATAACCTGTTATTTGTGTTGTCGCCATTAATTTATGCTCGTGAGCGCTTTTCCATTATCCAGGGTTTTGGGCTGGTGAGATGGTCTTGAAACTGTCGCTAAAAACCTTATCAGTTCATCGCCTGTGGATATATGGCTTCATGGCCTTTGCCTGCCCGCTCTGCTGTCTGTACCAGGTGCCCGGCACCCGACAGACATGCATATGCTTATCTTCAGATGTCAGTCGCTTACATGTATCAGCTTTACACCGGGAAGCTCGGGTACTGGAAGTATAAGTGCTGTAACCTGATATCGACCAAGACTTCCAGACCGCAAGTTGTCCATGGATATCCCTGCCATGCTGCCATGGCATCGGATGGCACCAACTAATTAAAGTGCGCCCTCCCCGCGATTTTGCTTATACCATCGTCGATGTATATCATACATGCATGTGTCTGCGTGTGAATTTAGAAGAGAGAAGACACTAGATGTAATATACATGTACACATGCCTTCGCAGGTACAGTTTTTTGGCGGCGTGCGTCTGGAGACTTGACCGGTCGCAGGTGCAGCGGGTCTGGTTGCATGGGGTTGCTGTACTCTGGAAGTCGTGCAGCTTGCACATGCAGTGAGCATTCAAGTCCTTGTTGTGCATGCTTGCAGGTTTTGGGTCCATAGCTCATCTGTGGTTTAGTGCAGCAGCATGGCAGAGGGGCCAGAAGCTGAATCCTTGGCAAAGCTGCTGGAAGCCGATGTGACGGTTCGGCGGCGGTTTCGAGAGCTAGGCCACATGACGAGATGGCCTAGCATTCACACGGTGGGTGTGGCAAGCTGCAAGGCTATGGCTTGCAATGCCAGGATTTTAGAGATCCTGGCGGAGTGGTGGTGCCCTACACAGGAAGCTCCAGCCATAGTGCCGATTGAGATCATGCGGAGGGAGGCGGGTGCATGTGGCTTGCACCAGCTTGCATATATATGCATGCACTATATATTAACAGGAACCGACTTTGTTCACCGGCAGGTGAATGCCTTGCGTGGCCCACGCCACATGGACCTCAAGAAGGACCCGCTCCAAGCAGAGCTCGATGCGGACGGTCTTAAGAAACTGTTCAGTCACGGGCTCCGGCGCCTGAAGAGTGGGGCTTCAGGGCCCAGAGCTGCCTAGCTGAGGTTTCTGAATATTTTACGATGCAGGGGGTGATGAGGTCCATATATGATGCTACGTGATATTCAATCTAGCACACACACACACATACAATATACTGGTGATTCACACATATGTTTGTCTGATGTGTATAATATATGTACACACAGAGTATACACACTTTACAACCCAGGACCAGACCCTTGATGATTTCTTTCATATCCTCGAATGGTATTGGACCCAGCTTCGTGAAGAAGATCCTGAGGGCCCTACTGAGTTGCTGATGTTGGAGGATGGTTCGGTGGATGATCCGTATACCGATTCTGCAGTGGATGCTGTGGATAGTTCAACGAGTGCAGCGGTGAATGACAACTCATCGGACGCTGCTCTGTCGGACGCTACGACCCTACAGCTAGCACCCCTGACGCCCCCAGCTTCCACAGATGATTCCCTTGCTTGCAATCCGGAGACGGTTCCTGAGCCAGTGCCACCACCCGAAGCACTCCCAAGTGATCCCTGCGATCCTGAGCCAGTGTCAGCGCCCGAAGCACTCCCAAGTGATCCCTGCGATCCTGAGCCAGTGTCAGCGCCCGCAGCTATATCAAGTGATCCCAACGGTTGCAATCCGGTTAAGGTTCCTGAGCCGCTGTCAGCGCCGGAAGCACTCCCGAACAATCCTGGGCATTGCAATCCGAACGAGGTTCTGACAGCCCCACCGAGCTCAAAGAATCCAGGTGAAGTCGCTCAGATGTCACCGTCGACACTGAAAGAGGATCCTAGTCAGTCAGAGCCATGCACACCCCAGCAGCACAAGCTCGCCAAGCTTCCCCAGTTCCAGATCTCGGACCAAGAAGACCAGAGAGCCTTATTGAAGGCCCAGATGGACCAGCGCATAGCAGCCCTCAGGCCGGGAGACGGTTTACATGCTGATCTGTGTGTGCAGCATGTGTGTGAGCCCCTGCATTTTCATGGATTCGGATATAGTCCCCAACGTGTTAGAGGTACCAGATGGCTTTGAGAAGGGCTGAGAAGAGTTCCGATCGCCTTCCGGTTCCTCGGGGCCGCTTGTCGTCGCACTTAACACACGCATGGTCACAAGAGTTGTCTATGGAATATATATGTGTGTTACATTTTACATATACTCCGTACGTGCTGAGGTGATGCCGGCGAGGACACACAGGTGTATGATGCTGAGGCTGCGAAGGTGAGCTGGCTTTCGGTGCATGGGTCGGGCGAAGCACCGAAAACTTCGGAAGTGGACAAGCAACTTTCATCCGATTCGGTCGGGGTGCCTCCATCCGGAAGCCCCTCTCAGGTCCAGGTGCCCGCAGAAGCCCCTCAGTCCGAAGAGCCAGAGTCCAAGCAGGAGATCCCTTCTGAGGTAGAGTTGCCTATGAAGGAGCCGGGTCCTCCTGAGATCGATGGCCCTGAGGCCGTCCCTGGATTGCTATGGTGTGTTAATTGTGTGTTCGTGTAGTGTACGGTTTTCAACACGCATGCATATATACATATATATATATATATATATACATATATAATATTACACACTGTATGTTATTTTGCAGAATTTTAGAGTGTATGTGTGTGCATGTATATATACATATGTGTATATATATATATATATATATATATGTATACACATACATATATATATATATATATATATTACATTCCGAGATATATGTGTATACGTATATATATATATATATATATATATATATACGTATACACATATAATATATATATATATATATATATATATACATACACACATGTTTATCTATACACATACACCATTCTACACTACATGCATATATATATATATATGCATGTATATATATATATATATACATACATACATACATACATTTTTGGTGTATAATGGCCTTTTCAGGTTCCCCTGGTGACGCGCGCGGAGCAACGCGAGAACTTCGAGAGACAAAAACAGGCTGACAAGAAGAAGAAGAAGAAAGAGGCAGCCGAAGAATCGACTGCCGAGCCCGACAACGGCAAGAAGGCCTCGAAGACGAAGGCAGCCGAGTCGGCTGAGGACGCAGCCAAGCTCGACAACCTCAAGAAGCCCAAGAACAAGAAGGCAGCCGAGTCGGCTGAGGACGCAGCCGAGCCCAAGAAGGCCTCGAAGAAGAAGCCAGCCGAGTCCGTTGAGGACGCAGCCGAGCCCGACAACGCAAAGAAGCCCAAGAACAAGAAGGCAGCCGATCCGGATTTGGACTCCGAGCCCCACGACGGCGACGAAGGCAAGACTGCAGGCAAGCGCGACCCCTCTTCCGGACGTGGCCGTGCTCGTGGTGCAGGACGGGGTGGTGGTCGCGGACGAGGTGGTCGGGGTCGAGGTGGCCGGGGCCGGGGGCGAGGTGCTTGCCAGACCGATGAGAAGGACGATTTGGATGAAGGTTCCAAGAAGCGCAAAGCTTCATCGGAGGATGCGGGCGAGGATGAGCACGACAATGGGACGGTGAGGTATTCGCAAGACGACGCAGCCGAGGCGCCGAAGTTACGCAAGGCCCGCAAATCCCAGCAGCAGGACCCACCCCAGAAATCCGAGGAGAAGGACTCCCCCAAGTCCAAGCAGACTGGCAAGAAAGACTCGCCCCAGACCAAGAAGCAGGAATCCAAAACCAAGCAGCAGCCCAAGCCGACAAAGAAAGCCAAGCCGGATGCTGATCAGCATGTCGACATGGAGGAGGAAGCACCTGAGGTGGCGGGAGCGACTCGCCGTAAAACCTTTGGTAGCCGCAGGATGCCTCCCAAGCCGGGCCTGGAGCTGGACCGTTACAATGCGATGGTGGCTGCCTTCCAGAAGGTTGTGGCTCCCAGCTGCAAGTGCCCGAGCACGTGGGAGGTGGGAATGTGTTTTGTCCAATACACTGTTTAGAGCATGTCATGTATACATATATATATATATATATACAAGCATGCGTGGGGATTTGATCTCGATTGTGTTGCTGCTCTCCCCACCAGAGCTGTAATGAATATAGGTGTGGCTGGCTTGCACTCTCCACAGACTGGGACCCTGTCTCTCTCACACTCCCACACGTGCAATCCTATGCAGGCAGAACCGGCGGCCGTTCCTTTTGCACTCGCTGCCGGCGGCGGTTCGTCTGTGCACGGGATAGCTCTGATTGCTCAGGATAGAAGACACATATAGCACTTGGCTATGGGCATTGACTTGAGCCAAACGTTGCGTGGGCGGTCACATAGAAAGGTAAGGAGAAGCGATGCGGTGTGCGCAGCACGTCCACAAGCTTACTCCTAGAGTCGAGGGACGCGTGGCGTGCCCCCTTAGAGTCGAGGGACGCGTAGCGTGCCCCCTTCCCTTGCACTTTACATGGTCTTGCTCACAGCTCTTATAGTGACACCTTAGAACTTGACAAGGCATCGCAGTCCGTTCGCACCCCCCATGAGTTGCGTCTCCGACGCTGCTCACCCGGAAGATGGCACGATAGGACAACAGAAAATGTTCCGCCGCAACGTTGACATTGAAAATCAGAGCTTTGCATCCCAATTAGAAACGTTGTGACACTCATCTACGTCAGTAACGATCCCCTGAAATGGCAAACGAATCAGGCGTCACCGAAGAAAGAAGCATTCGCGATGGCATTCCATGGGCGAAGCTCAGAGGTCACGAACTAGGCGAGGAAGACCAAGCGTTGATTCATCTCCATCTTCGCGTGGTCGCAGGATCGCGGTCCCAGGGCCGTAGGTTTTCCTCTGGATACTGTTCCCTTTGCTTTCCTTTGTCCTTGCCTTTGTTTCGGCCTTTGCCGGCGGTGTAGTCGTAGTAGGAGTTGGAGTTCCAGCCTCCATGCTGTTCACCACCTGTTCTCTCACGCCCTTTTGAAGGTCCCTTGGCCGAAGAAGCGCTTGCACGTTCCTCCGTAGTGACAGGCGTGTCCAGGATGGAAGTACCACCTGGAGGGAGATAGTCAGCGGCCGAGATGTGATGTAGGGCTTCAGTACGTTTGGTTGTCGGATGTTGCTGTCTCTCAGCCTTGGATCTGACCAATCTGTCCATGAAATGCGCAGGCATTTGCACATTGTGATCCACCAGCAATCCAATGGTCTGGACTGAATGATCGGCATGAGTCAGCAGGATACCGACGGGGTCGATGTACAGGAAGTCCACCGGTCCAGTTGGCGTTGGTCGTAGCACTGAGAATTGTTGGTGTACTGTCACCATCGGAATCACCTCGCACAGGACGTTCAGGCAACAGAAGTGCATAGCCTTCACATCTTCATCCCTGTTGCTCTTCAAGTACGTAGTAGGGTTGAAGTTGTCCCTGCCAATTCCCATCATGTTGGCTCCCCGTGTAAGCAACGAAAGCATCTGATTCGTCCGGAAGCGCTTCAAAGTGTAAGTCCCGTTGGGATCGTACTGATTGAGGTTCTCAGGCTCCTTGGCAAAGCGAATGATCTCCTCGTCAGTCACATCCCTGCTCACACCCGTCTCTCTGTCCACTACAGCCAAAGATCCCCATTTTCCGAGCACATCATAGCGTTGGCCAAGTGCAAAATTCTCCTTCATCTGGAACAACGGCATAGTCGCCCACTTCGCGAATCCTGACCAAGCCTTGTAGATGGTTCTGCATACCACGAATGCCATATACGAAAGAGCGGCCATGTTGGCGTCGATGCAATGGGCATTTCGCTTTCCTGAGTAGTAGGATGGCTGCATGGCGGTACGTGCGAGTTGTAGCTCAGGATCGATGTTCAAAGACTGGCCGGTAATGAAGACGGGACGACGTTCCTGTGCAACTGCATCTGGTACTGCGTCATCAAAGTCCTCTCCTGGCTCTATGTCCATTTCTTCATCAGGTTCCTGTTCTGGATCGTCCTCCGCGATGACAGATGGTTCTGGGATTTCCTCAGGTTCCGCAACGGTCTCTATCTCCATGGCTTCCTGCTCCTCGACGGTCGCCTCAGGCACTGCTGCTGCCGCAGCTTCCATTGTCTGAGCAATGAAGTCACTGGGGATCTCCGTAGGAGTCTCCCGGTGTGGAGAACCTTGGTAGTATCCGCAAGAAACGAATTGTGACCAGCAGGACGTGCATCGGGAGAAGCATGCTGGAACGATGTTGTAGCATGCCGGGCACACCCTCATTCTCCTTCCATCCTCGTCTCTGCGTAGGTCTTCGGGTCGCCAATTCTTGATGACAAACTTGATCCCTTTGTCAATGTAGTGATGCCGAACCGTGTTCTCCCTGTGGGACTCCAGGACAGTCGTAAGGTCTCGAATGATCTGCTCCTTGCTGGTGTCGTGGGGTCCAGGAGGCATCTCGCAAAGCAATTCCATGATCTTGCTTGGCGTTCGGTATCTCTCGAACTCAGGGAGCAAAGGTGATGCATTGTAATCCAACACCATCTCTTTCTCCAACCGTTCATCGTAGATCTTTTCCACCAGAGCGAAAGAGTGTGTGTCTTGAGGGTTCGGGACGCAAAACCATACCTCCTTGACGAACTGGAACGGTATCGTTCGGCCAACGATCATGATGCCGCTGTCTGTGATACGTCCATCTTCTCGTGCAAGGTCCTGCGATGGGACATGGAGGACCGCCAGCGGCATGTGCTTGGCTTGTGGTCCATGTACCCGCATCTTGGTCGTCGCATTCCGGTGATCGAACGGTGCGAATACCCCCCAGTAGCTGTGGAGTCTGCCGCCTTGGTTGCCTCGAAATTGGCGCCTATGGTCGAAGTCCCCGTCGGGGTCCTCCGAACCAGGCATGATGCCTTGCGTGACATTGGAATCCAAGTTGCGGCATGCCGTAGCGTGGAACGCGCCTCCAAGACGTTGCAAGAGGGTCATAGATGGAGATATTTCGAACCTGTTCTTGTCCAACTGAAGCAAATTGTTCTGGGGATCTGAGTGCGCAGAGTGACCACTCGTA